AGCAGTGGGGTGAACCTGATGGCCCCTTCCAGCTCTCATATTCTATGATTCTGTGATTCTGCAGTGGGATGGCAGAACAGGTGGAGACCCTGACCCTACCTCTTGCCTGTCCTCCCTTGCTGTGCATATTTTATATTGGGATTACTGCTCCTGTCCCTCTCCCCCAGAATTAAAACGGGGAAGAACCACCATGCTGGATCCAACCAAAGCTGCTCCAATCCGCCATCGTGGCTAACCCGAGGCCCCAGTAAAAACCCCACAAGCAGAATCCCACAATCAGTTTCCAACAGCCCTCAATCTATTCCAAACAGCTCACTGGTACTACCAGAAGGGAACAGTTTTCAAGGGAGATTTTAGCTGGGAAGAAAAGGGTGAATTTGCCCCTTCCCACCTGCTGTACCACCACGTGTAGATTTCTGAAATGCCTGGGAGAGGCTCGTCCTCCCGTAAGGAGAGTACAGCCCTTTCCAAGCCTGACCCCCCTCAGAGGAGACGGGGCCTGCTCATTTGGAAGAGGGTCAACCTTGCTTTCAAACCAGGGATCAGCTCTGGGCATGGACCAAACCGACAAATGCTGCCAGGAGGTTAAGGATGGTGGGAGAATTCAAACTGCTGGAAAGGCGCAGAAGGGGTTAAAGGCCTCACACAGATCCATGCTGTGGCTGGCACCCAAATGGTGCAGGGATGACAGCCAGGATGCTGGCGGTTCGGGATTCCAGGGATGCCACGTGGAGCGTCAATGGCTGACTCGACTTACTACTGGCCAGGCGGGCCGTGCCGAGGGCGGGGGGGGACAACATCTGCGGCATTGCAACTCACAGACACCTGGATAACTGAGCCGTTCATCAACTGTGGCAGAAAGCAAATGGGGAAGGCCCCCCCAGGTGAACAGCAGACCGCAGAAAAGGAGGGGTTCCCCATATCTGAGAGAGGGGCGGCAGAGCCCTTGCGAGCAGCCCCTGCTTCAGTCCCCAAGCCAGGCTGGGAGGACTTCCTTGCCAGTTGGCTTAAGCATCCTGGTGGGCCCACATGGCCTCTGGAAGGCAGCTGCCAATGCTCCTGTCTACATCAGTCTTTTGTTCAGACCCATGAAGTCTGGAAGCTTGTTTTATCCTCAGGGGAGGACTATAAAGCAAGAGCAGAGCAAGCTTTGCCTGGGAGAAGGCCCACCTTTGCCCCTCGGCACCCCCAGGCATGGCTGAGGAGGACCCTTCTTTGAAGAGCTGCTACTGGACAGCAGGGGTAACACTGAGCTTGAATACCAATAATGTGTTGTCACACTGGGCAGCTTCCCATAGGGTTAAAATTATGAGATATCCGAAAACCGGAGGGGGGTGGCATGCTATTAATATAGTGACGGCCAATTTGGATAGCTTTAAAAAGGCTCCACAGGGAAGATTATCTGTAGCTACACGTCCTGATGAGTGCCTGCAGACACGCGTTGCTGGGGAACATGGGTAGGAGAGGGCTTATGTCCTGTCCAGCTTATGAGTTTCTTCGCTAAGGCTGGACGAGATGGACCTGGGGTCGGTCCCCGCTTCAGGGCTCTTCTGAAATTCTGGAGGGAGTCCCCTCCCCAAAATCAGCAACATCACCCAAAGCCAGCAAGCCCAAGAATAAACAAGAAAAGCAGGCAGAAAAATTTGCAGGTGCCAGTTACACACAGGCCAGCCACCTGGTGCTCCTTGGACCCTTCGCCGCGCAACTGCAAGTTCCAGGGGTTTGTCACTTTGGAAGCAAAATGGGGCCACCTTGGCTTTCCACATCCCACATTCCAGGGCTGCAGAAGCTTGCCAGTTCACAGACAACCCTCCATCCATTGACTCACCCAAAGACCCACAGAAGCAGACCCACAACAGCCAGGCACGCTGTGCAATACCTTGGGAGCAGAACAGCCTAAAAACCCCCAAGAACTGGGAGCTCGTCATTAAAGAAATGACGCAGGAGTCCCACAGGATGCCGAGCTGGTGCAGGAGGGGGAGGAGGAAGAAACGGGGTGGGGGGGGACCAGCTTGCTCTACTTGGCCTCCAATGTTTTGATCCCACCCAGCAGCAGCATCAATCTACCCTCTGCCACTTTCCCTGCGTTTTCTAGAGTGCCTTTTGCTGCCGCTTCCCACTTAAACAGGGAAAGAAAAAGGTAACAGGTTTTCTTGCTGGCAGCTGGGTGAAATGGGTTTAGGCCTGCTTTATGGGCTCAAAATCCGGGATCTTCGTAGAGGGCAAGGTGGCCAGCCAGCACCCGAAGCAGCAGCACCCTTCACGGCAACATCGCAACGCCGCAGATGCCACTCATCCCGTTCAGCATGCTGCTTATTTCTACGCACTGGACGACTATTGTCGTTAGTAACTGAATGGGTCTGTGTGTACCTCGACGGGAGGGCCACAACAATGCCCGATTGTCCTGCGGCTGGTGGTGTCTAATAGTGGGGATGATAAAATGGTGCTATCCAAGAAAGGGATGTTCTTAAAACACGCATTCAAAATGAATGAGCAGCCAGCAGCACGTGCTTCTGCTGCACCCTCACCTAGGAAGGCAAACCTTGTGAGAATTGTGTTTGCTCCTACCGTGGAAGCCCCAAGCCCCGTTGCTGCTCTGCATTACTTACATGCCTCCCCACCCGGGGGGGGGGGGATGGGGAGAAGGAACAACACCACACCTTTTCTGCCTTCTAGCCACCCAGGGAGGAACCCAAGCCCTGTTTGAGAATGTTTATCTCGAACTGAGTGCAGCAGGGAAGCACAAGACAATTTACACAAGGGAGTCACCGCATTCTTGTTACCAGGTGCAACAGCTTGATGGGAAATCTATTTTTCTGCTCAGGGGAAAAAGTCCCCTTCCCTCCTCTGCCCAGTTATTGACTGATGTGAGACAGCTTTGGACTAGGAACAGTGAGCCCAGAGTTCAAATTGGGCAGCAATTGAGAAGCCCAAGCTGCCTCACAGGGGTGTTATAAGCTGTTGCAAACTGCTTTCAGGGCAAGGCAAGAATTAAGATTAAATTGCGCCCTCAATTTCCAGTATTCAGTGTGAACACAGTGGCTTGCTGAACTGGCTCCATCTGTGGAAGAGTGGACTTTTGCAGAAACCTCCAAATCTGCAGATGTACCTAGCAATGTTGTGGGGCAAAAATCCTGGAAGATGTTGAGGGAAGCATAGGGCTGAGCATTCCAGGGTGAAGACATGGAACCCCAGGTGGAAGGGGAACTGGAATGGAACATGTTTGGAAAGGGCCTGGCTGGCTAGAAAAATGAATAGCGACATGCCATGCCGCAGAATTTGATTACAGGTGGACTGCAGAAGGTGTGTGGCTTGTGGAATGACTCTGTCTAGTGTTTCTCTGAGCCGAACCGGTACTTCCTGTCCCCGTTGCTGACCACTGGCCATGCCTGGCTGGAGTGCTGAGAGCTCAACAGCTTCTGCAGCAGGCATGCTCCCCCTACCCCCCACAGCCATGGGGAACATTCCCCTAATACCCCAGTCAGGGGTAGCACTTTATCTCCCAGCTATGGGAAAGCAGCAGCCTCCATAGCACCATTTACCCTCACACCAGTAGCATAGGCTGAGAGTGAGGGACTGGCCCAAACTCACCTGAGTCTCCGGTCCAACAGTTTGACCACCACACCCCACTGGCTCTCTTCTGGGCTTCCAGGAGGCACATGGGAAAGAGCACTGGGCATGAGGAAGCTTGTGTCTTGGCACAGGAAAGCTCTTCTTAAGTCACATGCATCTGAACACATTCTAGTGCCCAAGCGTAAGAGCCCTCACAACTCAGGGTGCACAACTCAGGCAAGCCCCTCGCTCTTGCCTCCCCTCCCTGGTCCATCCGCCACTACAGGGATAACAATGCCAAATTTCCCTGTGGTGTTGCTAGAAAGATTCCCATGGGAACTTCAGGTGAGGCACTTCCCATGCTCCAGGGATGCAAATCTATACAGGAAAAGCCCTGACCCAGCTGGGGCATGGGGACTTGTAGGATTTATTTCTGTGTCAACACAAGCAAGATTCTGCTACGAAGCAGAGGTGGGTGCCCTCTGATGCTTGGGACAAGAGCTCTCACGAGCTGCAATCTTTGCATCCTACAGATTGCTCACTCTTGACTTAAAGCACACACAACATCAACATTCTTGTGATTGGAAGGTGGTCTGGAGATTGCAGAACCAGCAGGATTCCACCTGGAGGTGTCCAGAGTCAGTTTGGAGGAGATGAGGCAGGAAGGACAGGCTCACACAAGCTGTTACGATGCATCAAAAGCAACCAAGAAGTAGATAAGCAGACAGCAAACTCCTGCCATGCGGTTCCCAAAGGGCTCCTCTAAGGCTAGCCCTACTCCACAAGTCCTCCACTTAGCCTGTGTGTCACCAAGCTGGCAAAAACCAGCCCTTTACAAACATCACCGCAGACATCTCTGTTTATAATAAAAAATCAATCACCAAGGAGTTTGCCCAGTTTTAACCAACTCAACAACTTCATTTTCTTATTTTAAAAGATCAATTGATTCTGCCCAGCAAGTGCTGCAAAAGCTTGCTTTTTTCCAACCCTGCCTGCACAGAGCAAAGTTCCTCGCCTGTTGTTGAGCAGTGTTCAGAAAATGCCCTATGCTAGTCACGCACAGATGTTGGTACTATTGCGCTTGACCTCTGGTTGCTGTAGCAGTGCAAAACGTGGGTTTGAGGCTCTCTTGCGGGGTTTCTCAGTAGAGGCGCAAGCCACAAGCCTTGGCTGCCGAAGCTCATGTGCCACTCTTGGCTCACGCTTCTTCCAGAACAAGCCTTGGGCCAGCCTTGAGGTGTACCCAACTGAAGTGGGTTTAAGGAGCAAAGCCAATCATTCTTAAAAATCTGCTTGAAAGCCAAAGAACAGAAAATGGCTGACTCGTCCCTCGTTAAAAGGATGCATCGAGTATCAAAATGAAGTCCAACTGAGCTCAGCATCCCCCCACCCCCATCTTCCCCTCACCCCCCTCCCCACTTTCCAGAACATAGATCCTCTTTTCTCACCTGGCTGGCTTTGTAGAACTGCTTCTTTAAACCTGCCACGGACATGGTGCCTTATCTCAGGTACCGAAACTAGATCCCGGAGACACGAGAGAAAGAACGGAGGCCCAAGAAGGAAGTAGACAAATGGATCGGGACCACAAGTCAGGTCAACGAGAGTCTAAACTGGGGAGGAAGAGAGCAGCTTTGAGAAAGCTGTGTTGGGGGAAACAGGGCAATGCCCAGCTCTCAAGGTGGGGAGCAGACAGGTGGAGAAGGCAGGCAAAGGAGAGCTGGGCAAGAAAAGGGGTCAAAGGGTGCTGAGAGTCCAAATTGGGAGTGCAGGTTAGACACGGCGTCTGTGTCTAAGTGAAAACAAGCGAGAACAGTCAGCCCCAAAGACACAAAAAAGAGTGTCTGAGTTGCAGAGGGGAAGAATGACAAAGTATCTTCCTCCCCCCCCCCCGCAGACCTCCCCCCCCACAAAGACAGGGGACAAAACAGCCTCCTACAGAATGACAGTCACACACACACACAGAGAGCAACAGAGAAGTTGAGCGGCCAAGAAGAGAGAAAGTAGTATCTAGTTCTTACAGCAATTGAGAAAACAGCTCTCCACCCCTGCACTCCCCCAAAAGCAAGACACCCCTCCAGCTGACAGAAACAGGCCCCTGGTGGGTAAGTGGATATATAAGGCTGGGCGGACCTACCCCTGAAGAGCCCAAAACCAGCGGAGGTTTTTCAGGCTCAAGAGACTAGTCCTCAGTGAGGCAGCCAAAGCAGTCCCTGAGAGTGAGCGAAAGAAAGCCAGGCTGGCTAAAGAGGTATGCGGTAGGCTAATACAGAGATAATTAGAGCTATATTTTAAAGGCTAACAGAAGGGAGCGAGACGAAGGGGTGGACAGACTAAGAGACAGGAGGGAGGGCAAGGACAGACTGACAGCGGCGGAGGGACACGAAAAGGAGCCCCCAAAGAGAGTCAGCACAGAGGCGTGGGGCGGCGGAAGAAACAGCCAGCGCTCAGCCCCTGCTCCTTCAGCGTAGCGAGCCCAGCGCTCAGCCCCGCTCGCTCTCCACGTCCCTTCAGGATGTTACACGGCTCGCTCCGTCCACTTCCTCCCCAATCCCCCGCCTCCCTACCAGCGCGCATGCGCAGAATCCCTTTCACCGGGCGGAGGGATATTCGCCACTCGTCTCTTCCCCGGAAGTAGGCACGGGGGAGGGGGGGAAAGAAGGAGATCCGGCCTCCACGCTTCTAACCATGGATGCGAGCGAGACGGAGCGTCCACTTGTGTATCAACGCCGCTCTTCATTTCAGAGGAAGCCCGAGCGCCCCCTGCCTTCCTTCAGTTAAACCACACCTATTACGTGTGTGGGCTAGAAGCAATATACATAACTTTGAAAATACATGTGCCTATGAAATTTCTTTAAAGAATGCGAATCAATCACATTTTACTATTTTAAAGTACATGTCTACATTTATACGCTTGCTTAAGGAATATAAGACGTTCAAAATACGCTTGCATCTATTTTGGAAAATAGGAAGAGCAACTAAAATCCATTGGAATATTTTTTAAATATGAAAGATGTACAAATCCATGCTCATACTGAGTTCTTAAAGCGATGAGTAAGTGTTCAAAATGCACATGCATGTTTGTTTCTGAAAAATAAAACCGCCAGAGGAGGGGAAAGGTGGCTGGTGGGGCTGGGTTGCCTTGGGTACTAAACTGGGGCTGGCACCAGGAGTTGGCATGGTTGGGCAGCGGCCACAGAGCCACATCACAGCAGGGGCTCATTGACGGAGGCATCCCCTGGAGTTGCTGCTTCCCCATGGAAGCGGCTTGTTCCCGTCTCTTGCTCGGGCCCAGACCACAGAGGACCAGGCCAACCAGCTCTCTGCTGGTTGGGCAAGTAACTGGAAGCACCTACTGTTGGTTAACATAGCAGGGAGAAGTGGGTTCCCTGAAGGTAGGAGTCCTTGGAGGGTGTCCTTCCCAAAGGATCACCAAAGCTGGAGCTGGCACTGTCTATAGACCTGCACGGCCATTCCTCACCACTGGCTATTTAGCGGTTTTCATAAGGCCCATTCCCAGGTAGGGATCCCAACCTTATTTCTATATGGTACCGCAAACGGAAACAATCCTTTCAGTTTTGAGGTGTGAAATCCTGAATGTATAAACAACTATAAAATTTGTTGCTTGTATTTATTGCAATACATATAAAATTGGTTTAGCTGCTTACTTATACATATTTAATTTTATTTAATGCATTTTGGCTTCCTCCATGAATCTTAGGGTGGTGTCAGCTGTGTCTTCCTGCCTCCTTTATGTTTTCTTCATGACAGCCTTGTGAGGTAGGCCAGCTGATTTGCAAGTCCTTCAGTCCTGTCTATCCCACACTAAGCATTAGAAAAATTAACTGCAAAGTACAAATGGGCTGTATAATAAATGTTCAGACATTCCTATGCCCATGTACCTGGAAGTGAGTAAAATGAAGAGAGCAAATGGAATGCAAAGTCCTGGAAAGAAGAGTGGCTGGCAGACACACCAAACAGGGGAGCTGCGTGCTGCGACCTCCTGTTGCAGCTCTCAGTCGTGAATATTTAGATATTTCATGTGCATCTAGAAAGCTGTGTGTTTCCATCTTCTGTACAGATGTATTTATGTACATAGATGCATTTTAGTCTTCATCCTACTCCTTTCTCTTGCTCTCCCGCAACAGTCACACAGTCACAGTAGCAGCTATTCCATAAGGCTGCTCTGAAACTTGAGAGATTCAATTTCTGTCTCAGCAAACTTACTGGCGTTTGGGCCTGACCCTCAGCGCAGCCTACCTCACCGGGTTGTTGTGAGGATAAAAAGGAAAGGAGGTTTCTTCCAAGAAGAAAAAAGGCAGGATATCGAATAAATATTGAATACTTTGAATAAATATTGAAAATGGTTAAATATCATAAACAAGGCAGGATCCAAATCTACCTTTCGCTGCTTATCTACTATTCTGTATAACGCTCCTCCTCTTTGTTCCACCTCTCCTCTCCTCTCCCTTCCCGGTCACTTCGTCACCGGTAGTTGATCCCCCCTTTCCTCGTCACCGCAACTCTATTGGCAGAAGGAAACCGGAGGAGGGAGCGCGCGCGCGCATGCGTAGCCTTCTGCTCGTGGTGCAGTTATCGCGGGAAGTGACTCCTTTCCCCCTTGCCCGGTAGTGCGCTCGGAGCGGGCGGGGCCCGTCACGTGGCCTGCGCGTCCCGCCCTATCAGGGCGCAGGAGAGCGAAGGTGGCGCGAGCTCCCGCCAAATACGAGCGGAGAGGCGGCTGGCCGGACGGGGCGCGAGCGGGACAAAAGGAGCAGCGGGCGGGGGCCGTGCCGTGCCGTGCCGTGCGGGAGCGGGGGCGCGCCGCCGGGGGCGCGCGCCGCGGTGACGCGCGCCGATCTGCGCCCGCCGGGGATGTGGCGGCGGTCCGTCTGTCAGCCCGCCGGTCCGTCCGCGCAGCGCGCCGAGGCGAGAAGGGCCGGGCCGGGCCGCGCCTGACCTGACCTGACCGGCCTGGCGCGATCGCCGCCGCCTCGCGCGGCGCGGCGCGGGAGCCTTTCGGGCAGGTGAGAGAGCGGGGGAGGGGGCGGGCTGGGGAGACGTTGTCCTGACAGGTGGAGGGGCGGGGGAGGCGTTGTGGCAGGGCCGCAGTTGGCGGATCGAGGCGCTGGGAGGGGGAAGCGGGCCCGGGGCGGTGGGGCTGGCTTCCCGGGGGTCGTGGGGAGGGGTCTGAGGCGCGGGGGTCGCCTTAGTCATCTGGGAGGGGCTGGGAGGACTCAGGCAACTGAGGCGATGGGGGCGAAACTGGCTGGGCACGGGGGAAGGCGGGAAGGTTTGTGGAGGGGCTGCGGTAAAGGTCTGGGGGTCCGTAGAGGGGCTGGGGAAACCGAGGCAGGGAGTGCGTGGCGGGGAGGCGAGGGGATTCTGTGGGGGATAGCGGACACGGGCTTGGTGTTCTTGCAGGTGGGCGGCTGGAAGGGAAGCTGGGGTGAGAAACTCGGAGGTGGGGAAGTTTGCGGTCAGTATTGTCATCCTGGGGTGCTGAACGGAGGTAGGGAAAGAAAGGTATCTTACAGTACTTGGGGGTATGTGTGAACCCATCTTTAGCTCTGATGCGTATTTGTGAGCCCACTTCTTCATTTGGCAGAGACCTCTTTTGGGTTCAAAGAAGGTCACTGCTGGTCAGCTCTAGAGGGGCAAAGAGGAGCCTCAGGAGTGGTATGTAATGAATGAGTAATGAAAAATGTGTGTGTGTGTGTGTGTGTGGAGGGGTCCCGCGGCATCGGAGACTGAGGTCTGTTGATTAACTGGGATGGCTGAATTAAATTTCTGGAAGGGTTATTTATGTTTCTTTCTTAAATGTAGCATTCTAAGTGTACGCATCTTCTGTTGCCAGCCATGGAGAACGGTGATAAATCAACAGTCCCATCCCGGAAGCTAATACAAGGTAACTTGACTTCCAGCAAAAACAAATACTTTTTCCTAGCATAACTTCTTGTTTCATTTGCTATCTGTGTGGAGTTGGCTTGCTAAATCATTTAACTTCATACAAAAATGAGCATATTAAGAGAACCACGCAGGAAAGAACATGGTAATTTTCAAAACAACTTCTTTGAAAAAAAAAAACAAACTAATGCAGAAACAGGTCAAAACAAAGTTGTGTTTGGAAGAAAATGAGAAATGGAGCAAACTGATAAATTCATCCATCTCTACTTGGCCAGATACCTATGGGAAGCCTTTGAGTGCCAAACACTGTCCTACATATGTTCCCCAGCAACTAGTGTGATAAGTATATGGCTTTTGTTGCTGGAGGTTGCCAAGAATCATTAAAATGAATAGCAATTGGTAGCCTTCTCCTCCATCAATTTTTCTAGTTCCATATTCACATCCAAGTTGGCAGCCATCACTGTTTCTTATGACAGCAAATTTATTTATTGTATTTGAAGTATTTTTATGCTGCTCCTCAGCCAAAACTTCCAGGACAACCCACAGATTTATGAACTAAAAGGACATGAAATGTGAAGGAAAAAGGAGGAGGAAAGGGAGAAAATAATTCTTTTAGCAGGCTGATAGTGATGATAGTTGTTATTTCTTAACTGTATATGGTTGCTGAGCCTTCTATAGCTGGCTTACAGAGCAAAAGAGGAAAGCAAAATGAATGGTTGAATATGGCATAATATCTAGTGGAGGCAGAATAAATAGTGCAGATGAAGAAACTACGGTGAGATGATGATTGCCCAAGGTTTGTTTAGAAGGCAAGCCTGGGCAAATCCTGAACTTGTGGATAATAAGATCCACAGTTTAATTCTGTAATAAATCCTTCCTGTCTCCCATCATTCTAGTGCTGGGCAGGGCCAGAGGGAAAAGGGTGAGGCTTTAAAGCTCTTATGGCTGGTAACTATGTTGTTGCGGAAACTTTTTGATTGTCAGAATGGAAGAAAATAGAGCCCAAACTGGGAAACTGCATAGCTCAGGGAAAGAGGGCATTTCCATTAGGGGCGACCCAGATTTGCCAGCTGGGACTGCGGCAGGGCAGGATTTGCCCCATGGGCCTGAAGTTTCCCACCCCTGGATAGCACTTGTGTGGATGATGATCATGTAACAAACTTGTGAGGTAGGCTAGGAGGAGAGAGAGAAGGCTGAGTGAAATTTCTGGTTGTACGCATTGCACTTTGGTTTTCCCCAGTCCCTGACTGTAGGGCACGGATGCATGCAGGGGGAACATTTGCTTTTGCTGGATGGAGCCATTTTTCTAAGCAATTTTTATTCACCAAACTTGAGTGCCTTTTTGCAGGGTTCATAACATGCACAAACGTCTTTCTTCTCTTTTTAAAAGTATTATCATCATCATCATCAAATTGCATTCATGCATTGCACTTTGATCATTCTAAGTATATCTGCTGCATATTTGTCTTGTACCAAACTGTTCAATACCAGTATTCATCATCTTAATTTTAACTGTTCCAGCCCGACTGCCTTTCAAGCGTTTGAATCCCGTACCAAAGGAGACACTTGAAGCAAACTCAGGAGTTAAAAAACCCAGGAACTCTCAAAATGTCCTTGATCAAAATACACCATGTCCTGATTTGGCACATCCATTACCGGACAATGCAGAGAACAACTGTCAGCTGGAAACAGAGTCACAGTTTGTTCCAAAACTTGTTAATGGCAAGGGTCCATTAGATAACTTTGTGCAGAAAAGCACAAGAAGTAGCACGAGTCAACCTTTGCTTGTGATAGAACTGACAGGGGATTCTTGCCACAGGCTGAGTGAGAACATAGACCATGGTGAATCAAACAACGTAGCTGTATTGATGGAGAAAGCTCATAAGGAAATAGAAAGTCACTCTGGTTTGCAAAAGTCTGTGCATAATGCCCAGTTGGAGGCACTGAAGGAAACGTGGCCAGTGACGGCAGAGTGGGATGAATTATCAAGTACTGTGTCAACTGAGATGGCAACTAGTAGCCCCAAGGAGAGCAAACTCCAGAACGTCATATTTGAAAGGAAGATGCCCATTGTGGTTCTTGAGGATATTCTGGTGGCCCGATCTCCCCAAGCTGCGTCTCTGGAAAGAAGTGTGCCTTCAGGAAATGAGACGCTTGAGTCTTGTCCTGAAGTGGATACAGCATGTACAAATTCCTCTGTAAGCTCCCTCTCCTTTTCCAGCTCACCAGAGTCTCTGCCAGTCTTGGAGCAGAAGGACACCGTTAGTCCTGTGGGTATTTCCACACCTGTTCAAAAGGTGAGTGTCACAGGAAGGCAGCATAGGTGGTGAGACTGGCCTGTGTCTGGTATCTTTCTTTCCTCCTCCCTTCTTTCTCTTTCTTTCTTTGGCACCCAGTCATATTTTAGTGACTTGGTTATTTTAAATCTTGCCTTTCTAATAATGGAATACAATAAAAAGTTATGCTAGGTTTTAATATGACAAATTAAAGACACAATTAGAACACAGCATTAAGCAGCACCAAGCCAGCAAAAGGAACTATTCTGTAACAGTTTCTTTGTCAAAATCCTGACCGAGTAAAAACTTACTTGTGCACTAGATGAAGAACAATAGAGAGGAAGCCAGCCTAACCTCATCTAGCAGGAAGTGGGGCAGCTGCTGAGAAGGCCCACTTTTTTATTTCTATTATTTAAAAATAATAGTCCAATGGAATACAATAATTAAATTCCATAGTCAAATGGAATACATTAAAACATTCAGTTTTACAGTATCAATCTTTTACCCATTATAAAAGCAAATAACATGAAAAATATCTTTATAAAAAGAATGTGTAGGTTCTGCCTGTTATCTCAATTTTCTGTGGCTGCCTTCTCCATCAGTCAGTTCCTCAGATACCTTTCTCCACCCACTCCACCCACTGTCAGCCCCATGCATTCCTTGTCAGCCATCACTTTTCCTTACAAAATTTGTTCCTCAGGCTTCCTGACTTGAATGCTATCATGGTAGGTGTATCATGAGCACCTGGAGCTGGGAGTCAGACTAGATGGCCTGGGAGGCTACTTCTGACTCACTCTGTTTCTACATTTCTGTCTCTACTTGCCGCCAACATAAGCACAATGATTTTAGTTAATTTGTGTTACATTTTTTCTTCTGTTGATTGGCTTTCTGGTTGGAACACCTGCATCTTCTGAATGTTTTGTGACTGCAACACTCCCAACAACTGTAGGAGCCTATAGTTGTTAAGTATTTGTTAAATGATAACAGAAGGAATCTAATCCGCTTTGAAGGAAATGTTGTATCTTACTGGGTTGCTAGATGAGGGCTTGTCCATGATGAGGGCTTTCTAGAAAATATTTTTCACAATGTCTTATACCTCAGAGGCCTTTTTAATAGTTTGAATTAGCTTTAATTCGTAATCTGGTTTAAATGGAAATGCTATTATCACACTACACTGCGTTTCCCACTTTTCTTCCTACTGCAAATAACCCAATGGATTAGGCTGAGAGTGAGTGGCTCGTCCCAAGTCACCCACCGGACTACATGGTTGAGCAGGTACTGGTTCTCAGTCCAACACCCCAACTACCTACTAGAATAGGCAGTATCACACTGGATGGGAAAATATTTTGGCCCATTATAAGGCAGTTTCTGTGCTCCTCTGGACAGGACCTGAGCTCAGTAGTGGGAGCATGCGCTTTAGGCAGAATGTCTGTTTAGTTTACCAACGGCTACAGTTAAGTGGTCTAGGGAACAGGAGAGGAAAGAAGCTCTTCTCTGCCTCCAGTTGGGGAGAACAGCTGCCCATAAGTAACACTGAACTACCCAGACCAGTAGATTGCCTTAGCAGAACTCAATATTTCATGTTTTGGTTTAAATCAATCCTTTATTCAGAACCATGAGGACTGGAAGCTTGCTTTATTTCCATTTCTTTTTAAAGGAAGGGCCCTGGGACAATGATAGTACTTGTACTTTGTGTCTAGGTTGAATCCACACCATAGGCTACTTATTTGGTATACATGTAAGTCTGATTTTTCAGTAGATCCTCCAGATAGCACAGAATGTCAATAACATAAAATAGGTACAATACACCAAAACCCATATGTTTTGAACAACCAGCCTCATGGAAACCCCATGGAAGCAGCCCCATATTTCTTTTCTATAGGATAGTTGCTGGAAGTGGGCCGGGGGGTGGGAGCATAAGGCACATGCTCTGCTGTAGAATTTGTTATCTTTCTTTACTCTCTGGTGGCTATGTGCCATTTTAATGCTTTCAAAATCACTCCAATCAACTAAGTTGGCTGAATGCATTCTGGTAACTCTGAGGAAAGTCATTAGCCAGCCTGAAAGTCCTTGGCCTAAACTGTAAAACCCGCTGTCATGGAATGATTAGAGGAGAATAGGAGGAGACCTGGATGCAACATTTCATGTGTACCCTGCAGAGAGAAGGAAACTGGCTAACATGAAGTGCTGTCAAACTGCACTGAATTTTAACTCAGGACGGACTAACATAAAACCTACACACAGAGGGGAAGCAAGATAGTTCTTGGATGATGGTAGAGTTCCTGCCATTGAACCCAAAAGACTTTGAGCAGCCGCATTGTGTAAAGCTTCTGTATGAAAAATGCAGAATGCAGGTATTGTTAGTTTAGCTGTAAATCCATGGAATTCAGGCCTGTGTGCACTCATTTTTTTTCCTTGCGTGGGCAAATACTGGAAAGCAATGTAGCAGCATTCTTGCTCCCTTATGCAGAAACAGGAAACTTGTCTGAACTGGCCCCTTGCCATGGTATAGGCCAGATGTGGCAACTGTCTGTTTTCCAAGGGGCCAATTTGTTCTCTTCCTTTTGGACCATGATCTGGCTGTGTACGATGGCCCAACTTTTTGCAGGGCTTGCTTATAAAGTCTGTTCACTCCCAGAGTAAAGACTTAACAATTTAAGGAGAAAAACTTGTATAATGGTACTTATGGCTGAATAAACACAGCAAAAGAATGGAGTATATGATGCTACACATTCTCAAAAGCAGAAAGTCCTTAAGTAAAATGTGCCAGCAAAAACTTGACCCAGGAATTTTGGTAAAGCCTACATCCAGTTGTGCTGGGATTTGCTAGTTTCTCAGGGCCACCCTAGTTTACCAGGCAGTTAGAGTTTCTCGGTTCCAAGAGAATGCAGGACTTCTCCAAATTTGCTGGGCAGTATGAAGGCGAGGAAGAGGAAGAAAATTTTTAAATTTTAGCTTTGGAGCTGCAGTTTTGGATGCTTGGGTAATCTCTTGTAGCTTTCTAGGATTGAATGTTGCTAGGAAAGAGAAGGTGGTCTCAGTTTACACTGGTATCTGAATTAATCTTACAGAGCAATCTTGTCAGAACTTTTTTATGCCTAAACCTGCACAACTCAAAGCACTCCCCAAGTAGATTGCACCCAAAGTGCCCTCTAGGTGTGCTTGACTACAGCTCCCATCATTTTCAAGTGGAGATGGGCACCAGTTTGAGAAGCTGCTTTGTTGTTTTTATCATCTACATATTTACAGGGCTCTGCAGGTCACATCAGTCCTGACTGGCTGGGAGAATGCTGCGAATTGTAGGACCTTTTTCTGTCTAAACCTTCATCATCATCATCATCATCATCATCATCATTATTATTATTATTATTATTATAACATTTCTATGCCGCCCCTTGCCGAAACCTCGGGGCGGCTTACAACGATTGTCTCTATGAATGATAACCTGTCGGGTGATAGAACAGTTGGCAAAATATTTAAGACACTCCAGAGTGACTTAAGATGGGAGCCTTTTGTCCAAGAGGTGTGCGCTGTACAAAATAATCTGATCTCAAGCTAGTTCTGTCTGGGCTGCTTTTCAGCTTAGAGCTGACTGGATTTCTGACCGATGTGCTTAGGAAATCTAAGGCAAAATGGGTGTCTGGTTGCCCAGCCACGGATCCTGAGGGGGAACACCTTCACACATGTTTCAGAAATTCTGCCATGTCTGCCAGCATGGGAGGGTCCATCCTAGAAGAGATGCTCCTCCTTTCTCTTACATGGGAGGGAATCATTTTTAGAATTTTATTTCTTTTTCAAACTACATTCAATTCAGAAGGATTATGAGTTTTATTACTTTGTGCTATAATAGTATTATAACATCATAAATAACAAATTCACAAAGTAATAATGTTTCAGCTGTGAGAGGCATAAAGACTATTCAACCTTTCTTCATGGGCATGTCGTGAGTGGAGCCAGCTAGAACCGGGGGTCAGACTAGATGCCCTGGGAGACCCCTTCTGACTCGCTCTGTTTCTATGTTTCACTAGTTCCATTAAAATGCTTCAGTGGTTTTATTAATTGCTGCTTTTATATGGGTTTGACTCTGTGCTATTCCCCCCCCCCCCACCCCCAATATTCTTATGTTTATAGTGTAATGTTTTTAATGTATTTTACCTCACCCAGAGAATGTCAGTTATTGAGCAGTTTAAAAGCACAGGAAAAAGATACATTTGAAGTGACTCTGCAGAAAGGAAGATTTTCACATGGCCCTGTTAAAGAAAACAAAGAGGTGTCAGTTTGAAGGGAGTTCCAAATGTAAGGTCCCACTCAGATTGTTCTTTTTCCTCTCAAAAAGTGCCTGCAGTGAGAAGGAGGGAGCCTGACTGTTTTCATCTCTCAGCTTAGCCTTCCTCATGGTTGTTGCCAAGTTTAAAATTGAATAATCTCCTCCACGTGCCACTCCTCTGAGCTGCATGGAAAGAAGACAGGATGCAAGTCAGGTGCAAATCGCTTTTCATAGCAGCCCTAAAGATAACTGAATATTGCTGCTCTGCACTGCTTAATTACTTGGCACGGGGTAGGGAACAGAGCCCATTCAAGAAAAACACCAAGCAAAGTTTTGGCAGAACAGTTGTGCGTGTGCTTGGATTTAGAACTGCTTCACTGTTTTGTGCGCCCAAACAGTGCTGGATGGTGGGGTGTTCTTCTCGCTGAATCGTCCTTCCCAGCCCCTGCTGAAGCTTAAGAGGTTGCTCGTGCTTCCTCGGAGGCAGGAGAGCTTCCTGTGTCATGGCAGCCATCTGACATTGCAGCACAGTCCCTTGGGATCTGCAGTGTCACTGGTACAAGTGGCATTAACTCCTAAGCTTCCCACAGGCCATTCTTTTGTCACTCTCCAAGATACTATTCCATGCTAGTGCACAGAGATATCTGTTTAGTTTCACTATTACTAGTTTTCACTATTGCTGTGTCAATGCAGTTAAGTTACTTCCTCACAAAGCCTTTTACGAGGCTCCTTGCTTGCTCCCAGCAAGCCATGAAAACCCTGTGTAAACTCTGAAGATGGGGGTCAGCCTTGGTGTGAATAGGGTTGAGGGAAAGAAAACAGATTTGGTGGGGTTTATTTTAAGCATGAATACTTGTACTTTAAGCACACGAAGCACATTATGTATAATTGAACACACACACAGATATATTAAATTGTTACTTTTTAATAAAAAGAGTTTACTCAGTGTCAGAGATGCTGCTGCACTCAAGTGCCCATCTTAATTCTTGCTAGAAGATGGAAGGCAAAGAGGAACTTGCCATGTCATCCAAAAGAAAGTAAAACTAATAACTGGGTTTAGGGACTGTACTGAGAACCCAGTTTTACCATGCAGAAGAAGAAACTTGTATTTTGCAGGGGGAACACAACCAGAGAACATCCTTATAATGTGACTAAGAAGCAGTGGTGTTGGATGTTCAGCTACACATTTTGTAAGATGGAAGTATTCGCTGTAACTTGATTATATATAGCCAACGTCATAGCAACCGTAAACCGAGAAAATTGGCCTCCTGTCCTTTTTGTTTTTTTATATCTGCTCCATCTCAGTCAATAATATATCCTTAGAAATAGTGTGACTTATTGGTTTATATAGATTTGTTGCTGCTGTTTCTGGACTGTCATTTTGGAGCTTTATAGGTTCTGGAAAAGTTGGAGTTTTCACAAACTGAAATCGATGAGTTCTTTTCAGACTTTGGATCGCTGTTTATGTGTTTGTGTTTCTTTCTAATATGCATTGATTCTTTCACTGGATGTGTAATATGGAAGAGTCAAAGAAGCAACTGGAGTGTGTGTGTGGAGGGGAGAGGTTGTTCTAAGGCAGGAATTGCATACTTGTCAGACTCCCCAGGCTTTTGCCTCCCCCCCCCCCACAAGCCTGTGGGTGATCTGGCCTCTTCTGCTAACCCAGCATCCAGCACTGTGAGTGCTCATCGGGTAATCTAGTCAGCATTGGCTGTGTTGATCACAAGCAAGGTGGCTACGTTTTGGGGTCTTGGGTTGTAGAGATTGGTGGCAGGGCAAGCAGGTCGTGCTACAAAATTAATTCTGAAAGAGAAAATGCTTCCGAAGAAGAATGATGAAACCCCTCACTGAAACCTGGCTTTTTATCACACACTTGGGTGAGGTAAATTAGGAATAATACCACTCATCCCCCCAGATCTTTCCTATTTCTCTTTCCCCCTCCACACATAACCCCATGTCAGTTATTTTACTGCCCTCCAGATGCATTGTGTTGCAGCTCCCATCACTCACAGCCAGCATGGCCTTTCATGAGTAGATGGCCCCAAGTTGAAGAAGACCTATACCTATTAACTCACTGAAAAGGAAAAGGGGGCAATAATCTAATGTGTGGCTTACTGGAGGGAATTTTTAGTTGCCAAAGGCAACAGGGCAAGTGATGTGTACGTTCTCAGTGCAGCTCAGAGCAAGGAGGTAGTGAGGAAATTCTGTATTTCAGCCACTGCACTTGTGAGTGGATTCAAGTGAAAGGCTGGCTGGTTGACTGGCCCTGGTTCATGGCAGAGCAGTGGTGAACCACCCCAGTAACTTCCAGTTCCGACGGTCACTGCATCCAAGAGGGAAGTACTCGTAGGCTTCAGGCAACGCCAAGGATTACAGGCACACATTTTTTGGTTAGGGAAACAAAGCCTCTGCAGTGCGGATGGTCAGGGTGTGCGCGGGGCACAGGGAGGCTGAAAACCAGAGGGAGACGTAGAATGGAATTTCCTGGAAAGCGGCACAAGAGGCTAAAAGCATGAGGGCGAGCACTCCACATTGCATAGTTTTGTTGAAGGTCCCTCTTGTGCAGGCAGATCCTGCTTTTGTATTTACAGAATGCTTTCTGGTTTCAATCTGAGCTTTCATCTCAGTAACCAGGTTTCCTTCCCCCCTTTGAGAAACTTGTGTGAGGAATTCACGATCTTGGTGCCCTGTAAGCTGCCACTGGCTGACTCGTTTTGTTTCGACCACTGAAAAGAAATGCTAACCTTATATGCACCAATGCTTCTCCCCTCCAGGTCTCTCAGAAAATCCAGCGGACCTCTGAAGAGAAGGCAAAACTGAGGCTGCAGAGGGTAAGGTGTCCTCATCGCCTGAGCAATGCTCGTTTGCTGTGCTTCTGGCAGGAATCCGTGCACACAGGCAGCCTGCTGGCTCCTTTTCTGCGGAGTGTCACCATTGGCCCTGCTGGGCAGGGTTTGCGGGAGTCTCTGTCCGGCACAACAGGGGAGCGCCAGTTTGCAGAAGGTCTTTCTGGAGGGCAGGAGGAGTGGCCGCTTATTTGCAGGTCTCTTCATTCTTCAGACGGCAGTAAAAACAGAGACCTTTGTTTATTCAAGACATAACCGCTGCATGCTGGGAACAACACTGCCCAGTTGCCTAACCAGAGGGGGAGTTCTCTGCAGCTTCCCTTGGGAAGGTCCACCTGGCTCTCCATTTCCATTCTAGCACTTTCAGTGGAGTGTTGCTGTGAACCAGAGTTGGTACCAAAACCTGGCCGGAGGAGGCTGTTGTACACCTGCACCAGAATCAGTTGAATTTATTGGTGGAGGCTACTGTGTCGTGGTTATTCTGGTGGGAGAGAAGTAGTTCTCTGGGGTGAGGAAATGATTCTCTCCCACTCCCCAGTCTTCATGTCAGTTTTGAGGAGGACAGATGGCTTATACTGAACGAGAACTTCAATCCATCGGCCTCTCATTGGTGGCCCAGGATGCTTCTCTTTACCGCACGCTTTGACCCGCCCCACCTGCCTTCCTCTGGGGCCAGTTATTAGTCAGCTGTATCTGTGGTGTGGCTGTTTCTGACCCTCTCCAGCTGGAAGGATTTGTGCTTTAGTGTTCTTTATTGCCAGGGTGGGTAACACTGACACAATAACACAATGTAGCATGCCTTAAAGAAGGGTAGGCAGAATCCTTTTCTTTGACGTGCCAGGTCTGGTTTCTCTGTATGGGTGGGGAGTTATTTGCATTCAGGCACAGGACACGCATGGCCAACTAGCAGACTCAAGTGGTGCGGAAAAGGCCTCGGCACTTGCTCACGATCTGCATAAATTAGCTCCGTGAGGCCTTTCCCTGTGCCCTCTCCATCCCTTTTTTCCTTGTGTGCTATATCTTCTTAGATTGTGAAAATCCAAACAAAACAAAACAAAAACCAACAGTCTGTGGGCATGGACAGTGTCGTTTAGCTGATTGCTGTGAGATGCTCCAGGAGCTGTTTTGGCCAAGGCATAGGGCAAACATCCTTTATTTGGGCTAATTATTTGTTTTCTGGGTGTGGAAGAAATATCCCGCCCCATCTGGTCTTGGCCTGTGGGTATGTTTTTATCTTTCCCTGTAGTATGTAGCTTCTGCCCAATTTTCTGGAGCCATCTGTCACAATTCAACTGCAGGGTCATCCCACAGAACAGATCAGGTCTTTGCTCTAAGCTGGTGGACTTGAGGTGGTGGACTTGAGGTGGGAGCAGGAAGTCCTAGTCTGAATCCCTGTCCTTTCCGATGCTTCTTTGGTGAGCTGTATGAAAAGATACAGTTAGACAAAGTAATAACTCCTCTTAGGAAATAGTTGCGAAAGCAACTCCTATCACTAGCATTTCTGAAAGAGGTTCTAGAGGTTAGCCACCAGTGAACTAAGCAATCTTGCACACCTTAAAAATTAAAATGGGGTCTGGGGGGCTGGATTGCTGTAAAGTGAAGTGGCACCCTGCAGTGTGTTTTTCAAGAGAGTGGCTTTGCCTTTTGGACTCAGACCTCATTTCTGCCTGGTACTTGGGTTCTGGGGCAAGGTCCTTTTCTTCAGTCTCGCTGATCTGACTTCTCAGAAGAGAGTGTTCTGTGACTGGCCATGCCCAGGGTGACAGCCACTTGAACAGACAAGCCCTTTAGCCACCCAGCTGGCATTCTTTCCAGGTGCCCACAAATGCTCTCAAACTTCTGGTTGGGCTCACCGGCCAACAGAGTGTTGGACTCCACTGGCCCATGTGGCACAGTGGTTTCTACTAGTGGCAGCATCTTTCCCTAGGCTTGGTACAGAGACATTTTCCTAACTCTGCCAAGCATTATCTGATTAAGCTGGATAAATGATCAGCCAAACCTCGGAACCTCACATGGAAAAGATGTCCTACCCCCAAGAGTGGCCTCTGCCAGTGATCAGGCATGTCTAATCTCGGCCCTTCTAGGTGCAGAACCTCAGGGCTTGGGGGCCCAGATGGACCTTCCAGGGACCCCGACCACAGATCATTGGGTTGTTTCTTGGCATTTATTTAGTTTTTAACCCCATTCTAAAAGGTTGGAGTATCTCTCCAACAGTTTCTAGCAGTGCACAGTTGCTGATAATGTATGCTGATATTTTTTGCCTTGCCCCTTTGGCCTCCAGACCCATTTGCCACTGGGTTGCAGCTTCCGAATACATCTCCAAAATGAAATTTGGCCCTTGGGCTGAACGAGGTTCTCCTCACCTCTTGATTAATGAGTTTGGGGGGTTTTGGCAACCCAGGATCAAGAACGGGCTGACAAACTTCAGAAACAGCAGGCTGAACGAGAGGAGAAGGAGAGGCTGAAGGCTGCAAAAGAGCATGCCCGGGAAGAGGCAAAGAGGAAGAAAGAAGAGGAAAAGGAATTGAAGGAGAAGGAAAGGAGGGAGAAAAAGGAAAAAGATGAGAAAGAGAAGGCGGAAAAAATGCGTGCAAAAGAAGAGAAACGGAAGGAGAGACAGGAAGCTTTGGAGTGAGTCTGTTTCTCTCATAGGGTTTGTCTCCCTACGCCTGGATTGCATCCCCTTCCTGGGAACACCCAGTTTTTTCTCTGCATTCTGTTGGCATGGCTAGAGGTAGCTTTCTGTCCCATTGTCATGGCTTGCTTTTTTAGACTGGAACCTCCATGACCATGCTGGCTGAGAGTGATAGGGTCTGTAGTACATAACATCTGGAGGGCTTTACCTTTGGGAGGGCAGTTCTTAAGCCTTGGGGAAGGCAAGCTGAGGGGACACATTTTGAAGAAGCAGTCTATTTGTTTTTAATTAGATTTACATCCTGCCTTTACCTCCAAGGTGATGTACATGATCCTCTTGCTTTAGTTTATCCTCACAACAGCCCTATGAGGTAGGTTAGGCTAGAAGTCAAGGACTGGCCCAAAGTTGCCTAAAAGGCTTCATGCCTGTGTGGGGACTAGAACCTGACTTCCAAGTCCCAGTCCATTGCTCTAACCACTAGGCTCTTTCTACTCCATCACATCAGTGCCTTGTGAGGAATCTCTAGAAGAAATCCTCTCTCTCTCTCTCGCACACGTACACACAGCACTCGCAAGGAATTGTGACTTTTAACTGCCATCACCCCTTTGATCTAGCATTCCTACCCTTAGGGCCCCTTTGCAAGCACCTCCATCTTCTCACCAACCCACAAAGCTCACTTTGTAATCCGTGAGATTGCATGAGGAGCCGGTGGTGGTTTGAACTGATTCCAGCCATTGTTATTTGCTGTTGATTCCCACTCTTGGTGCCACATGTGGGTGGCCATTTCACCAGTCTGGTGGGGCTGCTATGTGATTTCTGTTTCAATATTGTGTTTGTGCACCTAGGCACATGCCTATAGGCTCCTTTTTTCTCTCACTCTGAAAGTGGGCTTTTATTTTTAAAGAGCGAAATTAGAAGAGAAAAGGAAGAAAGAAGAGGAGAAACGGGAGAAAGAGAAAGAGAAGGTAAGTCTGGCTGCACTTTCTTGCCCCGGCTGGTGCTACAGAATGTACTGTAGCCTCTGACATTGTCTTACGTTTTTGGAAGACTGTATCCCAGCTTCCAAGGAAAAAGCTCATAAAAAGGGGAAGACCACTCTGGCCCTGGACATCCACCAGCAGAGGAACCCCCACTCCACTGCGTGTTTTCCTGCTCCTCCCTCATTCTTCTTTTCTCTTGAATGGCATCTATTAAATTATCAGTGGGTGGGAAGGGACTGCCCTGTCTTGTAATATCAGTACAGTGTTTAGAAAGCTTTCGGTGCTTTATAAGTAGATGGATGGTCTGAAGCTAGAATTTGAAAAGATGCAATTCTTTGGGGTGGTTGTGATAAAATTCTTTCATGCATTTAATTTTGCCTATGTTTCAACTCTGTTTCCAGCGCATTAAAGCGAAGATGGCTGAAATCACGAGGTTCTTGCATAAACCCAAGACCCAGACTGCTCCGAAGGTAAGGCTTTTTGCCCCTTACATGGCTGCACCTTTAGTGGGACTGAATTCCAAGGAAGTTTTTCCAGAGTAGCATCTTGTAGCTTGCCCTTCTAGCTTAAGATTACCAGCACTAAAATTTGTCATGGGCGAGCAGACATTACTTGGGATATGTGTTCTTAATTTTAGAAAAATGTTTTCATCCTGCCTTTTCCTCAAGATGAAGGTGCTATACAGAGATTAGAATAAACACAGATCCTCATCCTGAAGAATAAAACAAACATGGGCCTGGAATTCATTTGAAGCAAGCATTTTATGCTTGCATTGTCACTCCAGACCTTGCCAGCTTTAATGCCCAGTGCAGAATCCAGCTAGAAGGAACTGCTATGTCAGTCCCACTGTAGGATCAGGCTGAGGCTCTGGAAGGGAGGCATCCTTATACTGGGAGAAGCTGTTGCATTTCCGTGTCCCTCTAGTGACTGATGTGGTAGTTGAGAAGGCTGCTTTATTCATTTGTGGAAATAACCTCACTCAGAACAGTGGAGTTGGAAAACGTGCAGGAAAGGGAAGCTCAGATCAACTAACACTATGGCTCAATTCCCCAACGAGGAGTTTCTTTAGATTCAAGAAAAAGCAAATGAGTGGAGACATAAACAGAATGATGCAGAGAAGGTGGAGAAGAAGGAAAGTTCACTCAGTGAGGTCCTTGTATGAGATCCTTATCGAGGGGAGACTCCAGATGAAGGGAAGGAAGCCCCTTCTCATTCAGCGTGTTGTCAAACTGTGGAGCTCAGTGCCACAAGATGCAGCGCTGGCCACTGATTTGAATGGCTTTGGGGGTGGGGGTGGCAGGTAGATTTGTGGAAGATAAATCTGCCAAGGGCTGCTGGTGCTGGTGGCGCTGTGCTGCCACTTGCATCAGAGGTGGCATGCTTCTTTGCACCGGATGCTTGGGAGCATAGCGGGGACGCTGCTGTTACACTCCTGTCCCACCTGTGGGCAGCAGGCTGACCCTGTGCGAAGGTCAGAGCTGGAATGCCACCCCATCCTGTCCCCCTCCAGACAGTGTCAAGCAGTCTTCGAATTGCACTCGCGGGAGACTTTCAAATGCTCTGGAATTTCTCCTTCGTGCAATTAACAGAGCGAGTAATGGCTTTGGTTATGTCGAATGCTGCTGGCAGTCAGTTTGCCAGCATGTTTCAGGGTATTTTCACATGCATATGACATTTGGGTCTGCCCTGCCTTATCTTTGGAGAATGCAAAAAAGGCTCCCGGTGTTTGTCTGCACCCCACTGCACACCCCACGGATGGGCATTGGAAGAATGAATGAGACTGTGAAAATGAATTCTAGGAGGAGCACCCCAGTGGAGGTTCTGGCCCCACAGAGAGGAACTTTTAAAGAAGTAGTTAGTTGTTGATACCCTTGGGCAGGTGTGGCTGCCAATTTCCATGCGCATAAGAATCTTTGTAGCATTCTGGTAGTTTTGGCATGAAATCAGGCGGTTTGGGGCAAGAAAATGTGCTGGGCCAACATTGCAGAAGAGGCAGGGGCGTCTTGAGTGCTTTCAGCCTTTAAAAGGCCGAAAGCAGACCTTGCTTGGGAGAGAACAGAAGGCAAGTGTGCTTTCTGCAGCGCCAGGTCAGGGTGGGGAACCTTGAGTCAGGGGGGCAAACCCTACTTCCCAGGGTTCCCCAAAGGCTACTGCTTTTCCTCTGGCCTCATTCCCTTTCCAAAGCCCTTGATCATTGCTTGATCATTGCTTCCCTAGCTTTTGTGCAGTTTTGCTTTCTCTCTGAAAGCTTGAAATGCCTCCCCTGAGCCTTAGTTATTGACAGTAAGAGCACAAAGTTAACACGTGTGGGTATTTTGAAAATGCTACCTCTATTTTGGCCCTGCCCATTTGCCGTGAGCCCTGCCCATCGCCAGCATGCCACTCCTGAGAGCGCTTCTCAGAAATTACTTTGACTCCCTCAGGCTGAAAGGTTTCCCATACCTGGGTCAGGCTGAGGGAAGCCAAAAAGCCCCCAGTAGCCCTTCATAACGCTCCTCCCCTCGATTTCAGACCCTTGCTGGCTGGTGTGGGAAGTTCGCACCCTTTGAAATCAAGGAGAACATGGTCCTTGCCCCTCTCTGCCGCGTTGCTGTGGATCCGGACCTTTTAGAGCAGCTGGACGGGCTCCTGCACGCACAGAGCTGTGACACTCCTCTGCTGGAAGAGCTGAAGAGCCAAGCACCCCGCCGCTCCAGCCCCACCCTCGATCACAGGCACAGAGAGGACAGCGTCAACAGGTCAGTCACCTCTCGTGGGCCAGGCAGGCAGCTTTTTCCTGCCCAAAGCCTCCAAGCATGGGATGGCTCATGTTGGCGAGATGCCGCGAGCCTGGCCTGGATCGTGTAGCTCTGTGGAGGCAGGTGGCAGCCAGAAGGACGTGGGATGCAGTTTTCCATGTAGGGAAAAGACCTTTAAGTGCCTGGCGACGTGACAGAGGACCTAGCATTGCTGTAATAGCCAAATCTAAAGGGGTAGGAGGTTCAGAATGGATAAAAGGAAGGGCTTCTTCGCACAGCGCAGAATTAAAACCGTGGAATTCACGAGCATGAGCTTAGATGGCTTTAAAAACAGATGGGTGAATTTATGGAGGAGGGCAGTCCTGTCAACTGCTATTGCCTCTGGTGGCTGAATGAAGCCTCCACCTTCAGTGGCAGTCTACCTTTGAATGCTTGGTGGGCAGCTGGAGCAGACTGTTTACTTTCCTGCCCTGTGTGGGGTGTTCCCCTTGGAGCTTCTGACTGGCCGCAACTCCCTGCTGGGCGGGTTATTAATCAGAAGAGCCCTTCTGTGTTGGACTGAGGAGCCATCGAGTCTCCCATATGATTCACAGTCACCAGCCAGCTGCCCACGGAAGAACACAAGCAGGACATGAGTGTAACGGCAGCCTTCTGCCCTTGTTGGCGTACGCCGGCCCACAGCCTCCAGTGGCAGCAGAGAGCTGTCAGGATGGTAGCCATGGATGTGTTGCCTCCTCCATGAAGTTGTGTAAGCCCCTTTCAAAAGCCGTCCAAATTGGAGGCATCTTGTGGAAGTGGATGCCATCATTTAATTCTGTGTGGTGTGAAGACGGACTCCTTAATCTGTCCCGAATCCCCCGCCCCCAGTCAGCTTCATGGCATCAACCCACTGGGTTCTGGTATTTTGAGGACTAGGATCCTTTCCCATTTTTTCCTAATCACTTGTAGTTTATATCTTGTTGCAATGAATGCAAACACCAGAGCATACAGGAAAGAGCCGCCTTCCCCACCTAGTGCTCTCCAGAAGCGTTAAGGCTACTAAATAGCCTTAGAAAGTTATTTTGATGAAGAAAAGAATATTAGTGTTTTCTACTGACTCACCTGGTGGAAAATCTGTCTACTAGGCTGGCTAAAGAGAGCTTGCATGTACACCTGACCACCAGTTGCTGGCAAGAGTGAGTAGCAGGCCACCTCTGCTGTCCTGGTTGGTGTGTGGTCAGTGTCTGTCTGGCTGTTGCGGGCCACAAAATGCTGGACTAGATGGACACGTCTTGGATCAGTCCAGCAGAGCTGATCTGAAATGTGTGTATCTTCCACCAGGATGGAGCCCTGCTGCATTCAAGCCTGCTTGAAGCTTTCCCAGACATCTGGCTTGGGCCAGAGTTTATTCAGTGCGGCGGAAACGCCTGCCTGCTCCTGCCTCGATCCAGTGCTTGAGAAAAAAGCCCTGGTGCTACAAATGGGCCCTGGAATTTCTCTGGCGCCCCACTTGGAGCACTTGTGCCAAGGAAGGAGCGGTATTTGTCTTGTCAAGTTGCCTTTGTGCAAAAGCGGGTGCATAGTGATCCCTTGACCCCCGTCCCTCCTCCTCAGAGCCCTCCTCTGCTCTGTGCTTGGCATTTCAAGCACCAGAGGCCTTCTCTCATTCTTTCTTGCCCCCTCCCCACTGCCTTTATCTGCCTCATCGAGACCACAGTTTTCTTAAGACTCCTGCATTTGCTTTCAGTGCTTTGTCACTTTGACTAGTTTAGCTCTAATTGAAAGCCTTAGTAGGGGACAAAAGACCTTTTCTTTTTCGCCTGCACTGGCATCTTAGGATTGTATAGTATATTTCTTTCTTTTTTCTAAATGGAAAGTAAGGAAGGTGTCTTTCGTGCCTCTGGTAGAGTGCCAGAGGTCTTTCTCTTGCTGTCTCGGAACCCCAGTGGGCAACATCAATGGCTGATCATGGGGTTTTTGTTCCTCAGCGATGTGGTCATCGTGGGCAGCAGCCAAGCGGGAGACCTGCCAGAAAGGAAGAGATTTGGAAGGATGAAACTCCTGCAGTTCTGTGAGAATCACCGTCCTGCCTATTGGGGCACGTGGAACAAGAAATCCTCCTCCATTGGCCCGAGAAACCCTTGGGCGAAAGATGAGGTAAGACAAGGCCGCGGTGCTGCCTCCATGCTGGCATGGGCTGATGGGCTGGCCTCAGGGGAAGCACGGTGTTGGCAAACAGGAAGGAGAGATGACAGCTTGGCGGTGGTCCATGTTGCATGCAGTTTGCATGCAGAAGGCTCCAGGCAGGATCCTGCTGTCTCCAGAGAAAGGGGGGATGCTGCAGGTGTCGAGAATTGGCCTTTGCTGGAGAGCCACTGCCAGGCGATACGGGTTAGACAGGCAAGCTGCTTGGCTGGCATGCGGCGGCTTCCTCCATTCTTCCTCCTCTTGGCTGCATTTGCACGGTTGCCTAGCTTCTGGCGGCTTTGCCAGTAGCTTTTGCTCCAGGGGTAGGTACCCTTGGAATTGGACTTCCAGGTTTCCCTCAGGCTCCCTGCCTTCTCCCCACCCCACCCCCGTAGTTTGGTTTCCTGGCTGTCATGCAGCTTTCTTTTTCTTTCTTTTTTTTTGGTATTCTGAAAAGCTGAAATGCCTCCCCTTAAAGCTTTGTTTCTGGCAGTGAGAGTTTTGAGCTACAAAACACTTGTGGGTTTGGTTTGGTTTGGTTTGGTTTGGTTTGCTTTTGTATTTTTGGACCTACCCCTGCAAGAGTGTCTCTGAAATTGTTTCCAGCCTTTGTGCTGGAAGAGGGCCCCTGGCCTGGCCCTGCCTACTGCAAGGTTCAGCGCTTTCAGAAACCAAACTCTCGTCTTTGTTTGCAGAAGCTCTTGGACTATGAAGTAGAAAGTGATGAAGAGTGGGAAGAAGAGGAACCCGGGGAGTCCCTTTCTCATAGCGAAGGGGTGAGGCTGTGCTGCTCCATCTCTATCTCAGGAAGAGAGTGCATAGTTAGAGACCTCTCTGGTCAGGAAGTTCACAAGAAGAGATGATTCTGAAGATACCCAAACTCTATATAGCAGCTTCCCCCAACTTTGCGCTCTCCAGATCGTTTGGACAGCAACGCCCAGCATCCCTGCCCATTGGGCTGGGTCTGATGGGGTTGATGACCAGTACAGCTGGAGAGGTGCCAAAGTTGTGGAGGGCTGCTCCTGGCACAACAGAAGCAAGAGACTTGTGGCTTTTGAGATGTTTTGGCCTCTGGCCCCTATCAGCCCCAGCCAGCATAGCAAACAGTGAAGGATGATGGGAGTTCTAGGCCGAAACATCTGAAGGACTCCTGTAGTCCAGCTGGAGTACTGTAACACGCTGTAGGTGGGGCTGTCCTTGAAGATGGTCCGGATACTTCAGTTGGTCCAAAATAGAGCAGCCAGGATGGGAACAGGGACTGACAGATGTGCTCACATAACGGTGGTCCTTTACCATCTGCACTGGCTACCAGTTGAAGTCCGGGCCCAATTTAAGGTGTTGGTAAAGCCCTAAACGGTTTAGGACATGGTTATCTGAAGGAGCGTCTCCTTCCCTATGTGCTTGCTCACCCCTTAAGTTCTGGATCAGAAGTCCTTTTTCCGGAGCCCTCTTTGAAAGAGACTTGGAGAGTGGCTACCTGCAGAAGGGCCTTCTCTGTGGTGGCCCCTGGCTGTGGAACATGCTCCCCAGAGAGGTGTGCCTGGTGCCAACACTTCATTCTTTTCGATGCCAGGCCAAACCCTTTCTATTTTCCCATTATTTTTAGACTTAATTTTTATTTTAGTCAGGCTTTTATCATAGATATTATGGTGTGCCTTTGTTGTTGGACCTTCCTGAGACTTTTATGAATAGGACAGGTTACAAAGGTTTTAAAAAGGTTTTAAAAAGGTTTTGCTGTGAGCCGTCCCGAGGCTATGTAGCAAGGGGACGGCATATATATAAAGGTAGGTAAAATTACCTTTCTCTGGGTACTTACAGAGCATTGATGGGTGACTTATTTTAAAATTCCTAAAATATATCACAGAGGTTCACAAAATGGAAAAGTGCATGCCTGATTTAAAGCGAGACCATTCCGCCAAACCCAGGAAAGCAGTGGCCCACAGTGGGAAGGCATCAGAGGGGCAAGGCTGGTGTAGAACTGGAAGTCCTGGGTCTTGCATCAGCCTTTTGCACAGGTGCCAGGTGCCACCATAGAACTCAAACCAACTAGAGTAATGGCTCCTTTAAAGGACATTGTTCTAGCCACGGTCTGTAGGTCAGAGCACAGAACCTGGTTCACCTCCAGAAAGGAAGTGCTTTCCATTCTCCCTCCCTTCCTGCGCACTTCCAGCAGGTTTTCTTGACCCCATCTCCACCTCTCTGCATCTCAAGGAAGTGGCGGCATCTCACAGAACCTCTGGTTGTAGCACAGCAGAGCCAAAGGACACTGTGACTGTGGATGCCAGTCAGCCGTGCTCTCGTCAGATAACCAGGTGGTAGATTGCCAAGGCCTTCACAGGCCTGTGAATCCTCCGCAGTCCCATTCACCCTATGAGTCCTGCCCCAGCACAGCTGCCGTTACCACATTTCTGCACCACCCTGAAATCAAAGCATTCTGGGTTGTGCTCCCAGCTTTTCAGCTCCCGTCATAGCTCTGGTGGTTACGTTGTAGGTGGTGGGGGACGCGGGAAGAAGGGTATGCTGACTAGGGAAAGACGACTGAAAGGATTTTGGTTGTGGTTAATTGTGGCCCTGAGAGGGAGCAGTACCCCCTTGAAGGGAAGAGAAGTCTGCCATGTCTGTGAGAGTGATCCTTCTGGACAAGCTTGCATTGTGACCGTTTGTTTAACAAGACAGAAATTTCGTTAAATGTAGATTCAGCCACTGGTCACTGTCCCTCCACATCCTTGTGAAGCAGATGAGCCCAGCTGCTGGCTTTTTAGAACTTGACTGTACAAAAAAGAAATGGTAGAGCACTTAAGAAGCTGCTATCACAGCTTGGCCTTCCTCAGCCTGTGCCCCCTGGGTGTCTTGGACTCCAACCTCTGTCGCTGAAGGACAGAAATCCTGGAGGATGTGGCCCTAGACCTCTGGAAGACACCAGGTTGGGGCAGCTGTCACTGGTGAGACAGCCTCAAGATCTGGTAGCTCCCCCTCATTTATGTTCTGGCAGCCTGCAGGACTGGGGTCCTTCTACTTGGCTGTCCCTGAGTGGGGCAGCTCTCGCCACAGCTTTTGCAAGAGCACCGGCTTACGTAACGTCCTGTGATCTGAAGGCATCCTTTGCCTCTTCCGTTGCCTGACATGCTCTCTCCTTTCTAAGGCTTTTGAGAATGTAATGCCTTTTTATTTACATACCTCAGGATGATGATGAAGAGGGGGGAGAGGAAGAAGATGACGACGATGGCTTTTTTGTGCCCCATGGGTACCTCTCAGAGGATGAAGGCGTGACTGAAGTAAGACACAGAATCAGTGAGGGGACCTTCCTGACCATAGAAAGAGATCCCTACCAGGTTGGCTGAGTAGCAGATGTTGCCCTGCTCCACACAGTGGCTGTAACTTCCAGTGTGGACCCTAAACTGTATTCCAGTGAAACAGATGCTAAATGCCTCCTCTCATTCGAGGAGGTGTATTGGGTTTCTGTGCTGCTTTTCCAAGGTTTGTGGGGTTTCCTCACTTCTGCAAGTAGTGAAGTTCTCTGCTTCCAAGATAAGAGGCAGTTACTATATATGGGACCCAGAGACATTGCTAACCATGTGGGTGTCTGGTCTCTGACATGCACACTACTTTTCTAGGTTCATACATTCTTCTGAAAAATAGCAATTTTCCCTAGCATGCAGTTTGTGTTTTAAAAAATCAGGTTAAACTTCAGCAAAGTTTGCTGATACTTTGAAGCATCTCCCTTCTTGAGACAAGAACTGGTTGGGAACTGGTCCAGTGCCCAAACATTTGGCCTTAACAGTCTAGAAAACAGCTCCCTCATCCTCTTTTCTCTTCCAGGAGTGCGACCCCGAGAACCAGAAAGCACGTCAGAAGCTGAAGGCCAAGGAGTGGGATGAGCTGCTCAGCAAAGGGAAGAAGTTCCGCATCTTGCAGCCCGTGAAGATCGGCTGCGTTTGGGAAAGCAAGGAGGCAGGCGAGAGCCCAAGTCAGGACCTGCGGCTCCTGCAGCAGTTCACAGTTTCCTTCTTGGACTCCACCATTGCTGAGGAAGAGCGGATTGAAAAAAGCAATAAAAGCAAAACAAGAAACCAGCAGAGTAAGCTGTGGGTTGGAAGAGCAAACTCTGTGGTGCTTCCAAAGAGCAGGGACAGCTCTAAGCAAATGGGTGGTGTGCTTATGTTCTGTGCATTTTAAAAATTTGTTTATATCCTGCCTTTCTCCCTTTTGAAAATAATACATTTCTATAACACCACATTATCCCGTAGGGCTTTATGGGCAGTTTACAATTACAATAAATTAAAATAATTTAAAAGACTAAAACATGATAAGAAAAAAAACCAATACAATAATGAGTTAGGTGACAGCAGCCTAAAAATAGCTCCAGCAGTGAGGGAAACTTAATAATACAGGTAATATGATCAGTGTACAAGATTCTATGCTCTGACCCAGCATCAAGTGCCATTAGTGGACTCAGGGCCTTGTCAGTGCTGGGCCTAAACCTCTGGAACTCCAGGGAGATATATATGCAGGCCTCACCTCTGCTGACTTTTGCAAAAGAACTGGATACATTTATTCCAGTCTGCATTTGGTGTTCAAAATTCCTTAGGTGAGTGTGTGTTCACTTCGCTTTACAATTGCTTATTTATGAATTTTAAAAAGTCATCATTAAAGGTCAGTAAACCAGAAAGGCGTGTCTCCCCACACCCCCATAAACCAATCAATGTCCCAGTGGTGGAGAATTTTTTTCTCAAATCCAGTGTAAACGAAGGACCCCTCACAGTTCCAAAATCTTTCCAGACCTTCCAGACAAGCCAACTTGAGCCAGTGGCAGTGTGTTTGTTTCCTAGATGCAAAAGAGAATTGATTTGTATATAGAATGAGTGGCCAAGGGAGCTGGCTTATAAAAATTATCCCTAACCAATCCACATAATACAATAAGCAATAGCAGAATAAAACTGCATAAATGCCAGATAAGTTCAGGTGAAAAGTAAAAATGAAAGCAAAGAATAACAGCTCACCAGAGCTACTGATGAGTGCCTGGGCAAGACACCCCTTGAAAGAGGTTCAGAAGCCGAGATGAAGTTCCTGAGTCCTGCTGCAGGGCAGAGAGAAACTACCTGTGGCCCTTCACCCGATTGCAAAAGCACTCTGCGTGTGATCTGTTCAGACGTGGGATGAGTGCCCCCCCACCCCCAAGGCAAGAGCCTGCTGGTTGAGAAGGGGGAGGGAGACAGAGAACATGAGGAGGGGTTGAGACAGGAAAGGACAGTTTGCTCAGGCCCAGCTGCACTGAACGGGGCATCAAGCCCGGGCCACAGATTGCTTCCCAGTGGGACTTTGTGGGAAAGCAGGGCTCCTGGCAGAGCGCCCCTCATTCTGTGCCTTGGGTGCTCACTTCTTTCTGCTTGTTAGATTTCTGCACCACCCAACAGCCAATGCTTCAGCAATGGCATAAAAGCTGCAAAGTACCAATCGTGTGGCAGAGGGGGAGAGCTGGGGGCACTCCAGAGGGCCAGATTTTGTTCTGCCCCTCTGGTGAACACATGACTGAATGGGAGGCACCAGGGGTTTGACTAGGTATCGGGGCATCCCGTCCTTATCCAAAGAGCATTTTCTAAGAGGGGGCCATTTCCTGAGGCTTACCGCCAAATAGTCATCCTTGACATGTCATCCAGCTGTTAGAGAGAACCTCCCAACTCTAAAATTCTGTTCTTCGTCTCACTTTAGTCCTGGGGCAGCTGCTTCCACTGCTCCATGGGAACATCAATGGCAGCAAAGTCATCATCCAAGAGTTCCAGGAGTGCTGTCGATTGGGATTGCTGCCCGGCAACAGTGGCTCAGTTGCTGCTCCGGACAGCGGGGATGCAAGCCCCAGTCCTTCTCGGGCCCAAACTCCTGTGCACACGGAGAGTGCCATTCCTTCCAAAGCCAGGCTGAAGCGAATCATCTCTGAGAACTCTGTGTATGAGAAGAGACCCGAGAACCGGATGTGCTGGTATGTGCACCCGGAAGTGTTGAAGAGCTACGGCCAAGAGGATCTGCCTGTCCCCTGCCAGTGGAGCTATGTCACACAAGTTTTGTCAGTGGCCAAGGAAGACAGCAGCAATATGTTAGGAGGGGCAGTTCCACAAACCATGCCAGTGTCTGTGAAACGGAAGTCAACAGGAAGCATGTCCATCACCAAGTTCATGAGGAAAAGCCCCGGGGCCGGGCAGGTGAGATCCTTTCGAATACCCAGTTTCCCTTCATGTCTATTTTTGCCACTCTCTTTATCCTACAGCAAACTGCTTCATTGGCCTGGTTTCGTAGACTTCCCTTCCAGTGCTTTCTGTTGTTCTGTCTCTTAATCTCAAGACCAGCAGCCAGAGTCTGGGACCTACTTGGTCTCATCCAGATGTGTTACACTACAACATTCGTCATTCTCAACCAGCCAGTGATGGGTGTTGCAGCCCCATTGGGAATGGCTGGTCTACTTAGTGTGTTGCAGTCTAACAGTGAGAGAATGGACCAGCTGAACCTGCTGGTAGATTTCTGGGTGGTTTGTAATTAATCGGTGTGACTTCCGCACCCTGATTGGTATCACACTGAACCATGGTTTATTTAAACTACAGTTTCCTACCTAGGGTTTGTGCGGAGGCCAATCAAACTGTGTGTCGTGTGCGCACACAACACTGTGGCTTGTTTTCTCAGTCCCTGGGTTGCTCCTCTTCTCTTCTTGGCTCCCTCCGTATTCCAAATTCCTTTGTAGCTCTGTAAAGGCATGCATTATGGCTGGGTATTTTGACCATTTTCCCCATCACAACTGTAGCGTGGGTGAAACAACCCATGGTTCCAGGTTCACATTCACAAGTGAAAGCAACTCATACTGTGGGTTAGTGCTATGTGTGAACCAGGCTTCTGACTCGCAGCTATTACTCATAACCTCGCCAAAGCGATTCCTCTCCCCAAAGAAAAAAACTACTCTTGAAATGAAGAAAACTCTGTGGAGGGGAGCAGGAACTGGGGGATGATGCCTCTTGGTGTGTGGAAAATGGTGGTACTCAAAGCAGAATTCCTGAGTGCAGCAGGCTCCTGTGGGCAGCTCTCGGGTCCAAACGGGCCCAACAGGCTGGAAAGCTGCAATGACTGGTGCAGAGAGACCCAGCTTCAAGTCCCCATGTAGCCATGCCTCTCGCTGCATGACACTGGGCTGGGTTGAAAATGGGGGGCGGGGGGGATGAGCCACTTCTCTGCTCCATGGGCAGCAGCTGGCCAGCGCCGTGGGCAGAGGAGAGGCCGTTCCAGTGCTTGCCCTGCGGTGCTGTGAACCGGAGGGGGCTGGCGGTGCCCGCTAGATAGAGAGATAAAAACTTCATTACAGTCAAAGATCAGCTCCATTCAATAAATAAATAATTTTTTAAAAAGAACAAAATACAATGAAGGTTATCTGTCATAAAATCTCCAGTCGGATTGATAGATACTCGGCATGATATACTATCACCATAGTTCACATCAGTCATCTTAAGTAGGTGACATTCCCAGACTTTGTCCTTCATCTGAGTAGGTAGGACCACACTCCCGCAGGATCTGTCTTTGGACACCCATCGCGGCCTCAAAAGAATTTAGCGAAAATTTGTGTTACCGTTGGATTAGTGTCAGAAACCAGTATATACAAGGGGCATTCAATGTATTCTCAGTATTGGGTTGATTTGCTATTGATGTGGGTAATTTAATTATTTCATTAGCTAATGACACTATCTGAGGGTATACATGCAAAATTTCAAATAAGTGTGATCATTAGTTCCCTAGTAATCCTCAGTGAAAGACTACCATAATGACTGACGGGACAATGTTGAAGAAAATCGAGCACCGTGCTGTGATTAAGTTCCTTACAAAACAAGGAAAAAGTCAAAAAATCATTCATGAAGAGATGGTGGCCATTTACTAGGACTCTGCACCTTGATTATATACTGTTCAAAAGTGATCAAGTGAATTTAAAAGGGGTAGAGAAAGCACTGAAGACGACCTTTGCTCAGGCGGGCTGGTTACTGCCACTACGAAAGAAAATGTGAAAAAAATTGAGAAACTTGTACTGGAAGTTGCCCGAATAAAAATCAAAATGTTAGCAGAGATGACAAACCTATCCATTGGTACCATATTTACTATTTTTCATTACCATCTTAACCTTTCCAAGGTCTGTGCAAGATGGGTGCCACGAATTCTCATGGGGCCTCAGAAACAAGTGCGAGTCGAGTGCTGTGGGGAGTTTTTAGAGCTCTGTGGTGAAGATCCATTGAGTATTTTTGACCAGATTGTTTCTGGAGATGAAACTTGGGTTCATCACTATGACCCTGAAAGTAAGCATGTGTCCACGCAGTGGCATAAAAAAGGTGCTGACCCTCCGAAGAAATTCAGAGTCACTCCATCGGCCAGAAAAATCATGGCCACAGTGTATTGGGACTGAAAGGGAATTTTATTGATCGAGTACACAAAAAGGGTGAAACCATAAACGCAGCATCTTATGCAACCACTCTGCGTAATTTAAGAGAAGCAATTAAAGAAAAAAGGTGGGGAAAACTGACCGCAGGTGTGTTGCTTCTTTACGACAATGCGCCCGTTCACACGGCGCGTTTCAAAGGCTGCTGTGGTTTCGAAGAAATAAACTAGCCACCCTATAGCCTGGCCCCCAGTGACTACAGCCTATTCCCGAATTTTAAAAAAGATCTTCATGGAAAGCGATTTTCCGACGATGAAGAGCTCAAGGCGGCAATTAACACACATTTTTTTAGACAAGGAGGAAGGGTATTTTTTACAGGGAATCGAAAAGTTAATTTCTAGGTGTAGTAAGTGTATTGAAGTTATGGGGGATTACATTGAAAAATAGAAATTATTTCAATTATTCCATTTTCTTCATGCCGATACCGAGAATACATTGAATGCCCCTCGTAGATATATTGTAGTTCCATACAGCCTGGGAAGTGGGGGGGGGGTGTCAGCCAGAGGCCTGCTCCATGCAAGAGGGGCTGTCGGCAAGCCATGGACAGCGCTTCTCATCGATTCTCTTGCCTGTCTGGAGCAGACAGACCTTCTGGTTGCCATGCCAGGGGACCAGAAACCATCCTCTCATGGAGGCTGGCTGGCAGTCCCTCCCTCCCCCCCACCCAGCATCACCAGGAACTCGCTTCCTCTTCCCTGCACCTTCTCCACTGGATGTTGGCACAGAGAAAGGTGAAGACCCTGGGAAGGGCAAGTGCAGAATCCCCACGTACTTGAGCTCAAAGCCCTTCCTTCCTGGGACTAGCTTAAGTGCAGTGGTTAAGAGTGTGGGTCTGGGACTCGAGCGATCCAGGTTCTGGTCTCCACTCAGCCATGGAACCAGCTGGGTGACTCTGGGCCAGTCACAGGCTCTTGGCCCAGCCTACCTCACAGGATTGTTATTGTGGGGGTAAGATGGGCTGCAGCAGCAGCAGAAGGATGTAAGTCACTTTGCATTTATTTTAAAAGGTGGGATATCCATCTAATAAAATGAAAGGAGTTCCAGCCCTACAGAGTGGGGAAAAGAACCACAGAGAAAATGGGAAAGCATCCAAAGTTTGGTGGTTGTGGGAAAGGGCACGTTCTTCTGGGGAGCCTCGGAGAGCTGGTTGGCCACTCTTGGTGGGTCCATCCCACTCTGTGTGCCTGGGAATCCCCACCCTTGTCCTCGATGGTCCACCCTTCGTCTCTCCTCCTTCCAGCCACATGCCCAATTCCTTTCAACCAGGTCTCAAGTTGCTATTGTGGGTCAGGTTTGTTCTGGGAGGAGCATCAGCCTGTTGATCAGCCTGTGCTCTGACCTGCAACATGTCCTTCTGTTGTTGCCCAAAGGTTGAAACCACCGAGATGGATGGATTTCAGGCGGACACAGAGGAAGATGACGACGACGACTGTATCTTCATGGGCATCCAGGAAAGCAGGGGTGAGAGAACTGATTCAGGTAGCTGCTGTCCCATTCAGAGGCGGGCGGTGTGGGGATGCCTTTGTCTCCTTCAGCCCCCTTTTATGCAGCTCCTTGTGGGGTGTCCTGAGACAAAAGGGTCTCCACTTTGCTTCCAAAGATTCGGGCCCTGACAGTCACAGTAAGAAAAGGCAGCGCTGCTGATTTATGCTAACAGACTAAAAAAGAGGAACACAGCACAGCATGACCCCTGCGCCTCAATTGTCAGATCAGACATTTATTTTATTTAACCTTTTCTATCCCATCCATCCACCACTGTCGTCTCCGGACGGCTTACCATAAAGAACAAATAAAACAATCACGTTTTGTACACCTCTCACACATCACCTTCGCTTGCCATGCGAGGGGTGATGCCAGAGATAATTCTGGGTGAGGGGATTCCCTGCCGTTGAACACACATGCTTCAGGGAGGAGCAGATACTAAGCGGCCTTTGTATTTTCACAGCACCTGCGTTGGAGACACCTGGCATCGCCTTCAAGATGGAGCAAGCGACTGTGGCTGCTAGGGACTCCTCCCCTACCGTTCCATCTGCCCCTTCTCCTCCCAGCTCTACCCCTGTATGTATGTAGAATCTTTTTAGCATATTGTAAAACGTTTGAGTGTCTCCCCCCTCCCCCTTTTATTGTATAAGATACTCGAGCGTTCTGTGTAAAAAGAAGACAGCACTTTGTTCTGCTTCAGATAAGAAGCTTCTTTATTTTTAGAGGCTTCATGGCGGCGGGGTTAGACGACAGAAATATACAACATATAATCTCTCTAATAAAAGCATTACTGAAATGTCTAATGAGGCTCCATACAAGACATGATGCCTGAAGTGTCTTATCTGAGTGGATCTGGGGGGTTGGGGGTGTGCTCTGGGGTTTCCAGGTATTGCAGAAGACCTGCAGTGTCGGCATGGAAATGCCACAGGCTGCTGAAAAGGCTTTTCTCCTGTTGATGAGCAGATGCAGCCCTCCATTGGCTGCCCCTGCCATTGAACTGGGGTGCTTCCACACGCAAAGTAGCTGCTTCCTGACCCAGTGGGCACACTTTTTTTTGCTCAAATCAAGGTCTGCCTTAGTGTTTCTCAATGCAGTGCCACCTCTGCAGGTGTGGGACTACAGTTCACATGCAGCCTTGATCAGGCAAATCAAAGGGGAGAGAAGTCACCCTGCTGCCTTGCCTAAGTGAGCTGTTCCAAGATAGAACTTTCAAGTCCCTTAGTCTGCAGGACAGTCCAAAGCACACTGTCAAAGGGCCTTCCTTGTGTGCAGTAGCTGGGGAAGGACACAGCACTAGTTCATTGCTGCTAGTTTGGTGCTCCTTGGTCCTCCTTTAAGTGCCAAATGGTCAAGATGTATGGGGCATCATCCCCCTCTTGAGCAAAAAATGGTTAGGGAGAAAGGCCGAGGTTGGCAAGGGACAAGCAAACTCTTCCTGTATCTCTGCAAATGGCAGGCCAGCACCAAAAGAGGCTAGAATGATCCACCAATTTCTTTGGCAACAGGAGGCAAGAGTCCCTGTACATGCACATCCCTTTCACAGCCACTCCCACCAGAGGAGGAATTTCACATTTCCCCCTCTTTATTCTACACGAACACCCTTCCCAGCATTCTCTGTGTTCCAAGACTAGGAGGATCAACCAGTGCGAACCACTGGAGGGTTATGCTCAATCCAGACAAGATGGAGGTCCTGTTGGTTGGCGGTTCGGGCTTCGGAGGTGAATTGAACCTTGTCCTGAACGGGGTTGCACTCCCTCCTAGGGACAAGGTCCGCAGCTTAGGAGTGCTCCTCGACCCGGAGCTTTCACTCGAAGCTCAGGTGACAACAGCGGCGAGGAGCGCTTTCCTCCAGCTTCGGCTGATTCATCAGCTGCGCCCCTACCTGGAGTACGACTGCCTTGCAACAGTGACTCATGCGCTGGTGACTTCCCGTCTTGACTTCTGTAACGCGCTCTACGTGGGGCTACCCTTGAAGACGGTCCGGATACTTCATTTGGTTCAGAATAGAGCTGCCAGGCTGCTGACGGGGACGGGGCGTTATGTTCACATGACTCCAGTTCTCCGTCAGCTTCACTGGCTCCCCATTGAAGTCCGGGCCCAATTCAAGGTGTTGGTAATGACCTATAAAGCCCTAAACGGCTTGGGTCCTGGATACCTGAAGGAGCGCTTACATCCTTATATGCCCAGTCGCCCCCTGAGATCGGCGGGAGAGGCCCTTCTCCGGGAGCCCTCCGTGAGAGAAATTAGGAGGGTGGCTACTCAGAGGAGGGCTTTCTCAGCGGTGACGCCTAAGTTATGGAATGCGCTCCCCAGAGAGGTCCGCCTGGCGCCATCATTTGTTTTTCGGCGCCAGGCAAAGACCTTTTTATTTAAGCAACATTTTAAATGTTAATACCATTGAATTTTATCTGGCCAGGGCGGCTTATTTTATAATGTGTGTTTTAAATCATTATGATTATTTTATATGTATATTTTAACTTATTGGTTTTATTTATTGTTGTAAGCCGCCCCGAGGCTTCGGCGAATGGGGCGGCATAAAAATGTAAAAAAAAAAAAAAAAAAAGTGAGGGCCTAAAAAGAACACAGGAGAGCTGGCACACTGGCCTGCTGTCACCATCAGCTGGTAACGGCACTCTCCCACACCAGGTGTCGTCCAAGTGTGATTCCCGGAGGGCAGCGGCCCAGACAAGGCAGGACCTCTCTCCACTGAAAGCACTGCCAGGCTCAGCCAAGGAGACATTCCCAAACAGGCACATGAAAAAGCTGGGAAACCCTTTTGAGTATGTTAAAAGTGTGTTTTGAGCGTGTCATCCCTTAAAACTAAAAAAGTATGGTTGTTTCTCCTGGGCTGTCTTGTCTGCTCCAGGAGTGGTTAAAGGAATAGCTCTGCCTTTTCTGCCCATCAGCCGGCATTTGCTGCTGTCCCCACTATGGGGAAGCGGGGAGCTACAGCCCAACACATCTGAGTGCATCTTATGGAGAACTACCACAAAACACCCCCAAAATCTTATACAGTCATACAGTAAAAACATCTGAGAATAATTAGCCATTAGTATGTAACAGTCCAGACTCCCACCCCTGACCTGCCACCTCCCTCCACACATTCTTGCAGCTTCCAAATCTTGGCCACTGCTCACCACTCCCAGTATCTTGAGGTGCAGGAAGACAAAGCACCTTCAGGTGCTACAGTAGTGCTAACAAAATCCTTCATTTCATAAAACTAGCACCCTATTTGGGTTGTAGTGGACAGAGACACACACACAGCCCAATCTGTTCTGGGCCAGGAGCAAAATACTTTGCGAAACAGGAGCAAAATAGAAGTGTGGAGCAACAGCACCTGGTGACCCGTGAATTCCTTTGCTATCCCTTTCGCTACATTCCAGGTAGGTGGAAGTTTTAATCTTTTCCAAGCACAAAAATAGTCCCGGCACTTCATGTTGAGGCTAGAAAGAGATTAAAACCTCCCAAAGGGCAGTTGGAGAGGTTGGATAGAAAAACCAGCACAGTAAAAATAGCCCCTGCCCCAACACAAGCTAAATCGACTCAAAAGTCCTCTGTGTTCTAGGCCGGCAAGGCAACTCCAACTCCGGCCACTTCGACATCAGGCTCCTAGCACACACTAGAAAAAGGCTGTCTTCCCCCTGTCCCCACTTTAGTGTTCACGAGACAAAAAATAACGGAGCAGCTGATGCCGTGTCTAGCCTGATGCACGAGAGAGGGGGGACCACAGCAGAGTACAACCGGATCCGAGCCAGGCTGCACCTTTTATTTTCAGGAGAGTATCTGCACGGCCGACAGGAGATCTGGCTTCAGCACGCTTCCCATCTGTTCACCCCCTGAAGCTCTGACATCTGCCATGACATCAGCATCCCATACGAATGTCACAAGTGCAGATGGCACCTTGGGAAGGAAGGAAGGAAGGAAGGAAGGAAGGAAGGAAGGAAGGAAGGAAGGACGGAAGGAAGGACGGAAGGACGGACGGACGGAAGGACGGACGGAAGGAAGGAAGGACGGACGGACGGACGGACGGAAGGACAGAAAAAAAAATTGTATCTTTGGTCACAGATTCATGTAAGGAGCCTGAAAGACCCTTTCTAGATGTAACAGATAGAGGGCAATGCTATTCCCACCTCCCCAGTGATACTGAAGTAATGTCTTGTGAAGTCTGACTTTGTTGACAAATGCTGAACACACAAATGTATGCTGTGAGCAGCTTAGGAAGAAAAAAAGCCTACAAGCCTCAACATCCTTGAAAGTGAGGACATGTAAGACGGGCTTCCCCACTATTGTTTCCTCCCAGAGTTGGACTAAAATGCCCATTATCTTCAGCAGCATAGGCTACAATTCCACAGGGGAAGAAAAACCAAAAGTTGGGTGGATGCTTCACTATGTAGACAATTTCATGTGCTATTAAAAGAAGAAACCCCATGTGCAACTATTTACTTCTTCACAGCCGTCCAGCCATGTTCAGACGTCTGTAGGAGTTGCCAAAGCCCCCAAAACTGAAGTTTTTAAGATTCAGAGACATCTTTATAAGGGAATTAGAAACAGTTGTGCTGCTGCTGTTGGCATGTGATTAAGATTCAGGAGGTCTGGTCCTAGTCCCCATTCCGAAGTTCCTCCAGTGACTTGGACCATTTACAAATCTCAGCCTAACCTATCTCACAGGATTGTTTTTAACATAGTGAGGGGGATTACATAAGCCACCTTGGGTTCCTTGCAAACCAAGGGCAAGACTAGCTAAGGCTATCTGTCACAAGGGCTCTAGATGGCATCCGCTGTTGGACACAGTAAACTGGGGAACATCAGCAGGAAAGCACCGTTAGCTTCCCATCAGGGCATCCACTGGCAACTTGGGGAAGAGGATGCCAAAGCAGAGAGGTCTTGAGTGCGGCAATCAAATGGGAAGATGGACACGTACCAGGCCACATTCGTTGAAGGCCATGCTCTGGTCCATCAGCTTGTGGCCCCCAGGGCCCAGCAGCTCAAAGGGGAGCCAGTCGTTCTGCAGTGTCTCTCGTACAAACTGATAAAGCACTGACACAGGTTCCCGGGCGTAGAACGTCCCTGAAACAAGAAAGAGAAACAGCACCTGAGTCACCCCCTCTCTCGAATGCTTCGTGCAGGCTTAGAAACAGATGCAAATCTGCACTTTTTTGCACTGGCAAAACTTGGGAACCAAACAGACGTCTAGGTAAGAAAGCTCCGGAGGACAAATACAAGTGAACGACACTCAGACCTAGCAGCACTACAAAGATTTAAAATGAAGGGATTTAAAGCAGACTTCGAAGGAGACAAAGGGTAACTGGAGCCAAACAAACATCCTGGACTTCAAGAGAGCTAACTTTAACGAACACAGAAAAATGATAAGCAACACATGGCAAATGGAAAGGTGTCCAAGAGGGGTGGGAAATCTTGAAAAAGAAGCTTCTCAAAGCACAACTATGAACAACTCCATCAAGAAAAAAGTGTGGAAGACAGCAGAGGAAGCCACGTGGCTCCACAGAAGGTTAAGTGTCAGCCTGAAAGAAAAAAAGAACATGTACAGGAAGTGGAAGCAGGACCAGACCACGAAAGAAGAATATAAACAAATAGCAGGGAATTGCAGGACTTGCATCTGGAAGGCTGAAGCAGAGAATGAACTAAGAATAGCAAGCAAGGGATGCGAAGCACAACAAGAAAGCCTTCTTCAGATACATCCAGAACAAAAGACATGAGGAAGAGGAGGGTGTCTAGCTACTTAAAGTGGATGGCAGAGTGACAACAGATGACAAAGAAAAGGCAGAGGCGCTCAATCCCTACTTCGCTTCCGTCTTCTCCCACAGGGAAATCTGCAATCAAGAGGAAGTTCCAGCTGGAAGTGAGATATGGCAGCTCAAGATGGACAGGAAAATGGTCAAGGAATACCTAGGTGGAATAAACACTTTCAAATTTCCAGGGCCCAATGCACATCATTCCAGCGTCACAGAAGAGCTAGCGGAGGAACTCTCAGAACCACTGGCTATTATCTTCGATAAATCTTGGAAAACAGAAGAAGTGCCAGGTGACTGAGGAAGGGCTAATATTGTCCCTGTCTTCAAATATAGACCAGTTAGTCTGACATAAATCCCTGGAAAAATTCTGGAGCAAATTCTTTAAAAATCTACCTGCAAGCATCTTGAAGAAAATGCAGTGATTAATACAAGCCAGCATGGATTTATCAAACAGAAATCCTGTCAGACTAATTTAAACTAATTTAGTCAAAAAATAGGAAACCTCCCAAATGGACAAAGGGAACACTATGGACAGAATCTACCTAGCTTTTACCAAAGCTTTTGACATAGTGCCACACGACATTCTGATAGGCAAACTAGCAAAAACTGGACTAAATGGAAAACCTCATAGGTGGATCCAGAATTGGCTGCTAAATCGGACACAAAGACACCTTCAATCAATGACACCTTCTCAAATTGGATGGAGGCAACGGGTGGGGTGCCACAGCGTTCAGTCCTGGGCCCAGTGCTCTTCAACATATTTATTAATGATTTAGAAGAGGAAGTACAAGGAAAGAGAATCAGATTTGCAGATGATACAAAACTGGGAGGAATAGCAAACACCCTAGAAATCGGAATGAAGATCCAGGGCGATCTTGATAAACTTGAACACTGGGCTGAAACCAACAGAATGAGAGTCAATAGGGACAAATGCCAAGACCTTTATCTAGGAAAGAGAAACCAAAGGCATCGATACAAGATGGGGAATACGTGGCTCAACAGAACATGAACAAGAAAAAGATCTTGGAGCAATTGTGGACAACAGGCTAAACATGAGCCAAAAATGCAATGCAGCTGCCAAAGGGACAAATGCCATTTTGGGATACATCAACAGAAGTATTACTTCCAAATCATGAGAACTAGTAGTTCCGCTCTACTCCTCACTAGTCAGACCTCACCTGGAATACTGTGTCCAGTTCTGGGCACCAAGGTTTAAGAAAGATGCAGAAAAATTAGGGTTCAGAGGAGGGTGACAAAAATGATGCAGGGTTTGGAAACACTGCCTGTGAGGAGAGACTGAGGGAACTGGGCATGTTCAGCCTTGAGAAGAGAAGACAGAGAGGGGACATGATATCTCACCAGAAGTCCTCCAAAGGCTATCACAAAAAGGAAGGTCAAGTTCTCTTCTTGCTGATGCCAGAGCATAGGACATGGAATAATCAATTTAAGCTGTGTCAACCCAGATTCAGGCTGGATAGCAGGAAAAGCTTCCTCACTGTTTGAGCAATACAACAGTGGAACCAGCTGCCTAGAGAGGTGGTGCGCTAGAGACATTCAAAATGCCATCTGAGTGGGATGGTATAACATGATGTCCTGCATCAGCAGGGGGTGGGACTCAATGGCCTTCATGGCCCCTTCCAACTCTACTATTCTATGATTCAGATTGAAACTGAAATTTTGTGGAAAATAAAGCCTTCACCTGGCACTGGAAACAGAAGAAGATAAGTGGTGGGTGAGCCTTCCTGGGAATTTCTTTCTACAGCTGGGGTGCCACAACAGAAAAGGCCCTGTTAGCAGCAAAGCAGCACTGGGGATGATGTGCCGCATAGCTATATATGAGAGTGCAACTTTGCTTTGGACCAAGGCCCCTACCCTTAGCACCCGTCCCTTTAACTTTAGTCATGGCAGCATGGCAGGGACCACCAGAAAGGCCATGGGATGGGCTGCATGGAGCCTGTAAGTTTTCCAGCCAAAATTCAGGGACTTCGAAAGATAAGAGGTGGCAGCACCCTCTGCCTAAACCCTGAGAACTGTCACCGCTCAGTATACAGAAACAGAGCGAGTCAGAAGGGTCATCTAGTCTGACCCCCGGCTCCAGCCACTCCACTCACGACATGCCCACCATGTGCATGTCCAGCCTATCCTTGGACACCCGCACCGATGGGGCCTCCACCACCTCCCATGGAAGCCCATTCCACACCCTCGGGGTCCCGACTGTCAGGAAGTGCTTCCTGGCATCCAACTTGAACCTTGGTTCCCTGAGCTTGGCTCTGTTGGAGCGCATCCTGCCTTCCTCTGCAGGGGAGAACAGGTCTCTGCCCGTCTCCATGTGACACCCCCTCACATACCTGTAGGTTGCCAACAGTTCCCCTCTGAGTCTCCTCTCCTCCGGGCTGAAGAGACCCATTTCCCTCAGTCTCGCCTCATACGGCTTCCCCTGCTAACCGGCCACCAACCTTGTGGCCCTACGCTGCACTGACTCCAACCTGGCTAAATCCTTCCTGTAATGAGGGGCCCAAAACTGAGCACAATACTCCAGTTGCGGGCGCACCAGAGTCGTGTAGAGTGTCTGTAACACCTCTCTCAATCTAGAAGCCACACTTCTGGCTATGCAACCAAGGGTGGCGTTCGCCCTCCTGACCACCACATCACACGGCTGGCTCATGTTTAGCCTGCAGTCAACCAGCACCCCGAGGTCCCTTTCACAAGTGCTGCTTCTCCATCCACTTGTCCCCTAACCTGTACTTATGGCACCCATTCCTATGCCCCAAGCGCAAGACCTTGCACTTATCCACATTGAACGCCATCCTGTTGTCTCCTGCACACTTCCATAGTCTGTCCAGATCCTTTTGGATCTGGAGTACCTGCTCCTCAGTTGTGGCCACTGCTCCAGTTTGAGTGTCGTCTGTGAATATGATCAGCAGACTGTTCACCCCTTCTTCCATGTCATTAATCAAAAGATTAAACAGGATCGGCCCCAGGACAGAGCCCTGGAGGACCCCGCTTGTCACTGGCCGCCATCCCGACGATTCCCCACTAATGGTTACCCTCTGCTTTCAGTCAGTCAACCTTGCCCTAATCCACCGGACAGTGCTTTGGTGTATCCCAAAACTCCTCAGTTTCTCAACAGTATACCATGGAGCACTTTGTCAAAGGCCTTGCTGAAATCCAGGTAAACCACATCCAGGTAAACCACATCCCTCTGTCTAGCCACCTCGAAACCTTGCCGTAGAATCCCACAAGGTTTGTCTGGCAGGACCTGTTTTTTGCGGAAGCCGTGTTGTGTGGCCGCCAGCTGCCCTTCCCTGTCTAGCATCACTAGATCTCTTGCTATTATGAGCCTTTCCATTGTCTTTCCTACATGGATGTGAGGCTAACATAATTCGTGTCCCTTTTTGAAAATTGGGACCACTGACACCACCCTCCAGTCCTCTGGAACTTCACCCGTTCTCCACGAGGCCTCAAACATGGAGGCCAGCGGGCATGAGAGAACCCCTGCCAACTCTCTAAATACTCTCGGGTGTAACCCATCAGAGTCCGGAGCCTTTGTAACATCCGGTGTCCTGAGGAGCCCCTCAACTTCTCGGGGGGTGACTCTAATCTGTGCCCCTAGGTCCCCGGCCTCATCTAATCTCCTATGCGGATCTCCCTCGTCCTGCTTTGGGGAGAACACAGAGGCAAAATAGTCATTTAGCATCTGTCCCTGTTCCCTCATATCAGTCACTGGATCCCCTTTCTCCTTATTTAGTGGTCCCACCACTTGTCTCCCCTTCCACTTCCTATTTACATGCTGAAAGAAGCCCTTTTTGTTGCTCTTGATATTCTTGGCAAGTCTCAGCTCATAATCAGCCTTAGCCTTGCAAAGAATCCTTCTGCAATGCGCCTCCTCCTCCCAGTATACCCTTTGGTCTATTTGCCCCAGTACCCATTTCCTACGGAGGTTCCCCTTTCGTCTAATCCCTCTAACCACCTCCTTTCGCATCCATGGCGGCCTCTCCTCCGCCTCCCCACCTTACTGACTAGAGGTATCGTCAAGGCTTGTGCCTCCAAAACCTCCCTTTTGAGTGCCATCCACCCCTCCTCAACTCGCTTGCCTCCCAGTAACCTATCCCAGGAGACTTTCCCCAGTCTGGCCTTCAATGGCCAAAGGTGGCCCTCTTGAAGTCCCAGCTTCTGGTGCTCGACCTGCTGCGCGTCCCCAGTCCCCTGATCTCAAAGCAAAGGATGGAGTGATCACTCACATCCAGAGCTCTCCTAATCTATTTCATCTATCAGCTCCTCCCTATTGGTCAAGACCAAGTCAAGGATGTTTCCCCCCCTCGTCGCCTCTCGGACCCTCTGTGTGAAAAACCCTCCCTCTATAGCCTCCAGGAAGCGACATGACCTGGCTGTCACCGCCGAGTGTGTCTCCCAACCAATATCCAGGAGATTGAAATCTCCCATAATTACTGTGTCCCTCCCACAAGATATCCTTAGAATCTGGTCTGTCAGGACATCATCCAGGGTCTCAAGCTGACCTGGAGGGCAATAATATATAAACACAAGCTGGACTTAATCTGGCTCAGTTGAGGGCATCTTCCTATGTTTCTATTTAAACTGGCGCTATATTCAGAACCATGAGAACTAGAATCTTATCTTTAGAAAAAGGTAACGGGCCATATCTCAGTAGATTGGCCCCTGCTTTGTCTTCAGAAGGTTCGACTCACTGGCATTTCAGTACAACTGGAAAAAAGCCCTGATCTGAAACCCTGGGGAGATGCTACCAAGCCTTGCCCATACTGAGCTGGTCAGGACCAATTATCTGGCGCTTGTTGCAGTCAAGTGTTGTGGAATCAGCTCCAGCCCAGACTGGAAGCAGGTGAGACATCCAGCAGAGCCTCCACTCACCTTGCAGGATGTACCCATCAGGAAAGCGGACACGCAGCAAGGTGTAGCTGTACTTCCTCTGCTCACGCTGCTCTTCCCTCTCCCGCATAGCTTTGGTCCTCAGCATGGAGGCCTTTTCCACAGCTTCTGTCCTTCAGAGGAGAAAAAGAAAGAAGAGGGGCAGAAATGGATTAGAGCTCTTTTCTGGAACCTCGGGGTTTTGAATGGAACTTCTCAGACTACTGTGAACTCCCAAACTCAGCATTTTTTTTATTTAAAAAGTGGCTGATCTATATACTGCAGCCAAATGATGCAACCCAGTCACACACTGACTACGCCATGAACATTTCTTGCTAATGACAGCAAGGCCTACAGGGCAGTGAATCTTGGCAAAATGTGGAGAAGAAAACAGAATGCGCCAGCAAGAAAGGAACAAGACAAGAAACTGCTCGCCTTTTGTAAATGGGGCAGGACCCTTCTCCTTTAGATTCCAGTCCTTGTGGTTCTGAGTGGGCCTGGGATCTCCCAACAAGGGTTCTGCCACTGAACCAGACCGTGACAGTCCAGGTCACCCGCTGTTGTTAGCACAGACTGGCCACAGAGGCTCTTTCAGGTTTCAGGAAAGATTCCTTCCTTGCTTCACCCAGAGATGCTGCCAGAAATGAACCCCAGGGCCTTCTGATGTTAAAAGAGATAAAATCCTCATGCCCATGGGCTTTGGAGAGCCGGGACCTTGTACAGCTCCGGCGAGTAACTTCCGACCCCTCAGATGGATCAGTTTACAACTGCCATCATCCTCTACCGCTGGCTCACGCTGATGGGATTGGTAGGCAGGAACACGTGCCATGCCCCAAGCTGCCCATTTCCACAACAGAGAAACTTGGGATGCAAGAAAGGTCAGCTTGCCACACACGCACCGGAGCCTCTGCTCCCGTTTCAGCTCCTCCGCAGTGAGGCTGAAGAAGTCGCTGGGCAGTTCGAAATGGGAGGCCTGTGGGGATGGCTTGAAAATGCGGAGCTGGCGGTCCAGCTGGGCCCTCAGCGGCTCGCCGCTCAGCAGCTTCTCTCGGTGCTCCTTCAGCTCGCCCAGGTTCTCCAAGGCTTCCTCCTTCAGCATGTAAAAGTCCTCGGTGGAACCGTCTGGTGGCAGACAAAAGGCAAGGAAGACGCTGAGCGCGCTGCTCCCCCTCTGCAGGCCTGCTCACCTGCAGTGCCACAGGCTCAAGGCTGGCTGCCAGCATCCATCCGACCGTCAACTGCGGGCTTCCCCCAGAGATTTTGGGGGGGGGTCACTGGGGATGTGGTCAGTTTGGAAGTACCAGCTCTCCTCGTGACTCTCCCCATGGCAGCCAGATTGACCCACATCAAGAAACTCATCCCAGCAGTTGGCACCAGGAGCCGGTCCTTTGCAAAGCAACTGGCTATTAATTGCCCATTCAGTCGTGAGCCGCCCCCTACCTGAATTTATCTTTTCCTCCCCAGCTCTCAGCTCAGAAGGAAAAGAGAAGCCTGGAGGGGGTGGCGGGTTAGCCAGACCTGTGAGCAGGCTACTAATAAGGTAACTGCAAGCCCTGGTTCCCATATGCCTTTTGGGGGTAGCGGGACAGAGAGAGACAGAGGAAGAGGCTTTGCACTCGGGTTGCAGACTTGGCAAGATGGCATTCCCCCCACATGGTCCGTACAGAGCAGAGGGGGAGGTGAGACTTCATCCTGCCTGCTTAGAACTGTCTGGGGTGTCCAAGATGTGGGGGCCCTCCTGGTTTATTGCTTGGCTGCTCCACAAAGCCATACCTTGTCCTGGAACACTCAGGGTGGCCTTTTCAAACCCAATGGCCTGGAAAAACTTGTGTGTGCCCTCCAGGCAGTGGATCCTTTCCTAGAAGGAAACCAGAATGTGCAATTCAGCTCCAGCATTCCTACAAGCGTATCAGTGGATGGGACTTTGAGCTGGCATCTATGGCTGTCCCTGGATCCATTCCAGCTTCAGCCACTGCATTCCTGCCCTCTGAAGGGTGCGTAACACAAACTGACAATTGCAAAGGAGAGCAATTGATCTAGCCATCTCTGAGGTGGAGCAAAGCACAGAATGGACTGCACCCCTTTGGCCTGCAGGGCCCTTCATGTGTGTGATCCTGGTACGTTTCCTCACACGTGTGTGTAATTAAACTCCATGCAAGAAAAAAGCCAGCATATCCCCCACAACTTTATTCAAAACTCTTACCTTGCCTGCATAGCCACTGCAGAAGTCTGAAGAGGTACCATACATTCTCCTGCCTGAGGGCTGGGACCCTGCATCCCCCCACCCCGTATTTGCTGCCCCCTGGACACACCGAAGCCACAGCTTCTGCCACAACTAGATGTGTTAAAAACACACACAAATTCTCTCTTCATAAACCAAGCCTCAGAAGCACAGGTTTTGCTACCTCTGAATATCTCTGTCCCCAGCAACTGATGGTATGTGGTGACAGACTATTGTAAAGTTGGAGGTTCTGTTCCTCAAGCAATAGGTTGTACTGTTTTAAAACTTCCACAGTGTTATCTTATCCCATCACCAGCCCCGCATATCTTGTGGGACTGCAAATTCCAGCACCCTGATCCCTTGAGCATACTGGCCGAGGTTTGATGGGTACCTCAGTTCAACACAACCTGGAGAGATGCACAGTTGAGGAGTGATGCTTTTAAAGGAAAGTTGGACAGGTGTACTTAAACTCCCCTACTCTGCACACTGACACACAATGCTCCCTCTGAAACAGAACTTGCCTGGAACACTTTATTCTGAATCTTGATCTTCCGGTACTTCTCTTCCTCTGGGTGCAGATGGATGTTATCGAGGTACCTGGGGAGGGAAAACAACACCATCACCCCGAGCCCTGGATTCTCCTGTGTGGCTTTGGCTGCATCCAAGAAGACTGCAAGGAGGGCTGAGCAACTGGGGGCTCTCTGTTTTGGCCTACATCTCCCATCAGCCGCAGCCAGACAAGCGTCTTGGGCAGGATGATAGGAGCTGAAGGCCAAACATTGTGCGGGCCACAGGTTGCCCACCTGGGTGGTGAAATGGGTTGAACTTGCAAGATGCTGGCAATGCTTGGGAAATGACTGGAACCAACCAGACTGTGCAGATGTCAGCAATTTTAGAATATGTGCGGATTACCCAAGAGCACCTTCTCACTCGCTGACCCGCCCAGTCGCAGGCCTCCAGCGCAGAGCCTTTGGTGCTGCGAACTCTCAGCCTGTTGCTCTCAGCCAGCGGCCCAACTGTTTCATTTTTGGCAGCAGCTGAGGACAGCCTGGATGAAACAAGCCCTCCCCACATTTTATTAGCGTTAATTTGATTTTAATCATTTTAACTATCTGGATTCATCTTTTCTCCCTTCTTTATTGCCCACTGCTTCAGAATTTTACAGGATGTAAAGCTGTATAAACATTAACTATAGTAAAGTATTTTTAATTTCCTGACTGTTTTGAGCTGAGAAAAGCAGTTTCAGTATTATGTATCCAACCTATGCCTTCTTATCTGGGAGCTGTGCAAATATCCCCATATTTCAATTGCTTTGTATATGTTGGGTAGGGTGCTATATAAATAGGGACCATTATACAATATATGTGTGGGTTGTTACTTGTATAGCGCTCTGAGGAACAGGTTTCTTCTACCTCTTTGAATTAATCTCTGATAGAACCCAGCTTGGAAAATACAGTGGTACCTTGGCTCACAAACTTAATCCATTCCAGGACTCTAGTCATGACTCAAATTGGTTGTGAGCCCAATCAAATTTCCTCATAAGGTTCAATGTAAATAAGGCTAATCCGTTTTGTAACTGTTTTTTAATCACAAGAATTTGAAGCAAAGTGACAAAGAACAACAAAGATCGTGGCCATCTCCCCCACACCCCCAGCACGAGCGCGATTGCACCTGTGTTCCCTGCAAAAGTGCAACCACGATTGCAGCCAGACGGATGTGATCACGGGCGCACTCAGGTGGGGGAGACAGGCGCAATTGTGGGAGCGCTGGGGCGGGGGGGAGATGGGCATGATCACAGGTGTGCTGGGGGGAGATGGGCACGATCATCACCCAATATGGGGTTCGCAACCTGAGGCAAAATTTTCCTGAAATTTGTTTGCAACCCGATTTGGTCGTGAACTGAGGCGTTCGTGAGCCGAGGTGCCACTGTATGAACTAATCAAGTCAACATTTCACATGTCTTCACACACACCTATTAAGGAATAAGCCTCATTTAATACAGTGAGACTTCCTTTCGCACGAACTAACATAAAGATTGCACTGGCATTTGAACTGAAAAATCTTTCATTCCTGGTTAGCATGATTTCTGGATGGAGCTGCAGTCCAAAACGTAAGGAAAGCAACCAAGTGGGAAAAGGCTGGGGTGGAGCAAAGGTGCTAAAAGTGCTTGCTGTTTTGTTGAGCAGCGAATTATCTGATGGGCACAGAAGTAGCGATATTGCAGGTCAAGGGGCACCTCCAGCTCTCTCACAAAACAGCTCCCTGGGATTCATAAAAGCACTCACAAAGCTGGTCCCAGAACATTTATTTCCCAGAATTGAGATAGGCCTCTGTGAGCCAAAAAGCAAAGCTCCTCTTCTGAGGTCAAGCAAATACAGAGCTAGAGGGCAGCTTCTTTCGGTTTTGGATAACTGTAACAACAGAAACTCAGGAGAGGGGCAGGGCCTGCCTGGCACCAGGAAAGGTCCACGCAGGCACAACAGGTGCCATATTGGGTACCCCAGAATTGTGATGTTCAGTTTACTTTTCTTGGAAGAAATGCACGAGTGTATGGCAGGGCATCTCCAGCCTGTAAGGACCCACGGGCACCTCTGGGAATTCGAGGGACAGCTGTGGGCACCGCCAAAAGTGCCTGATGGCTGGATGGTCCCATTGGTGCCCACCTGTTGCCTTCATGGACGTTAGGCAGCCTCCTGTTCAGGGAACACTTGTTCCACTGGACCCCACGAGGTCTCTTCAAGAGACGGTTGCCTGATTAAGCTCACTGCTGGTAGCAGAAGGCAGACCATGCTTCCCACAGTGGCGTCTCTTGGGGAGGAGAATATTACACACATAATCTTACACTGGAACAGTCCTTCACAGTCACATACACACATGCTTTTATATCATCCACTGTGTTGGGGAAATTAGCAAAGGTCAGGGTCAGGGAGAACCTACTTCGCTATGGTCTCCACGCCGAGTTTGACCTTGTCGTGGTCCCTGTTGAAGGTGTGGATTTCCATGATGGATGCAGCCACGGGGTCTTTGGCAGCGAGCTGAGGAAACAGGAGCCACCTCCCCGTGAGACAAGACCAGCAGTCGTGGCAGAGCCCTCTCCAGCCTCTTCTGGATGGGGGTCTGTACCGAGGATGGGGGTCTGCGGCTGGGTGGGATACGCACCGCAAGAATGGCTGTCCTGAGTTGTGCCTCCCTTTTGTCTTTGCGGACGGCCACCCCGGTTAAGGGACACGTGAAGTAGACTCCTGAGACAGACAGCGTGGATGGGTCTTCTTCAACGGACAAGGAGTTCTGGGGAAGAGCAAGTTTCAGACAGACATTCCACTTGGGAAAGCAACGACACATTCCTGCCTCGTGAGCCTCCTGCACTCTTGTGTTAAAAAACGGGGGCCTCCCACCCACCCTGACAGCCACGGGATGTCTGCCATTCTCCCTGAACCAACTCTTCTCCGGGGGAGAAAAAGAAAGATGGAACAGGAAGGAGAAATCAGGGTGTGTGGGAACATATGAGCACCAGGACAATGTTGTGCCAAATCCCAGAGGACAGCATGAGTAAGGGGTGTGAAACTTCAGACATGGGTTCCAAACAACCCTCCAGGGTTCAGGACAGCCACACCCCATTCCCCTGATCCTACCCCCCCCCCCCCCCCGCAGCTGCCAGACATTTGGGGGTTTCCTGAGTTTGTGCAGCCACACCCCGCTCCATTCTAAAAAGCCCCAATGCTCCCAGGGGCTCTGGGACTGTAATAAGCTAAAATATGCTGGAAACTGGGGACCTTTTAGTCCCGCCCCCCACTTCAGCCCTAGGCCCTGCACATCCAGAAAGTGCCCAGAGAGTTTCTCCAAAACTGAACTGGGCCCTGGTTTAAGCAGCCATCTTTAGACCTCCGTGTGAGCAGAATGTCCTCGTGTCAGCATAGCTGCACATACTGTGGGAGACAATTTGCCCTTCCAGACCATGTGAGCTCTTCTAGGCTGGTTTCGAGCCAAGATGGGCCTTCTGTGTCCTTTGCTCTTTGGAGGTGCCAGGAGCTGAACCCTAACCTCGTGTGGGCAAAGCAGGGGCTCTGTCATTAAGCTACGGCCCCCGCACTTCCCTGAAGTGGAGTGCCAGTGCCCCAGTGCCAGAGGGATGCCGAGTCACCCTCACGTGGCTTCTTGAGTTGGCCCACGGTGTCCCGTGAACCCACCCAGGGATTCATTCATCAGCCGGCCTTCCCTGACACCTGCCACAGCCACTCAGCTGCCTGCAGCTGCTCCCCTGGCCCTGTTCATCCCCACTGCTTCTCGGCGCCTTCCTACCTTCTGATCCACACATGCTGCTTTATCACTTGTGGCTGCTTCAGCCAGAAGCTCCCTTTTCACTAAAAAGACAAAGAAAGACTGTTGTATGGCAAAGCAACCTATGCGAGGGGCAGCTGGGGAAAGCAGGACTGATGAGCTGTTCCTATTAGAGGCACTGAACATCTTGCTTCCCAAAAGCCAAATTCACATTCTGGAGAAGATCTCAGAGCAATGAGTGGGGCTGAAGGCAAACAGTGTCGGGCCAAAAAAAAGAGAGAGAGAGACCCAAAACAGCAGCAGGTTGTAGGTTAAAGCTCTCATGGGCTGGAATTTAAGCTTTGGGCATTTCAACCTTTTAAAAGGAAGGAGAAACTGCACACAAGCCCAGAAACTACCTTATGGGGTCAAGAAAAGGATGTGGGCTTCTGAGAAATCCCAGGTTCCCCACCCAGGCATTTCAAAACCCTCTTCTTCACAGCACAGAGTTGATCCTGCTTTGCCTAATCCATGAGAGCAGGGAGCAAAACAGAAAACGGGGGTGTTTCTGTGCAGGTTCCTCTGCCATCCCTCTGATTCCTTGGAGCTCATTTTGTAGGGAGTTTTCCAGCCCTGAGGCCTAGTAATGTGGGATCTTGGGGGCTTCTTAAAATTCAGGAATGGTCGTGTTATTACTAGAAAGCAGAGTTCACTCCCAACCCCAGGACCGCACATCATGCTTTTCTGAGCTTCTGTGGAAGCGTGACAGGAATACAGAGCTGCCTTGGAATCTAGGGTTGGAGGCTGCGCTAGAAAGATTTTAGAAGAAAAGCCAGGCGAGAGGTGAGGCCTCCTGGCAAGCTCAGGCTCCTCATCCAACTCAGAGGCAGATGTTTCTGGTTTCACCCTCCAGAAGCGCCTGCCAGCGGAGGCAATGGTCTGGAATGTGGGGAACCGAAGACCCAAACATCTGGAGACTGACCTGCTGCTCACTCCCAGCCCAACGCGCGACGCCCCCACCTCTTACCCTGATTCCGGATGGCATCCTGCGATGACGGGGGGCGTGGCTTGGCCTTCTGCTCTAGCCGGGCCAGGGCTGCGGCAGCCGCCATCTGGGCCTCATTGGTCGGCCCTTGGCGGGGCTTGGGAGGGTCGGCTTTGGGCTTCTCTTTGGGAGCTCGTTCTCTGCTTTGGTGGTGGTGGGGAGAGAGGAAGAGAGAAGCCTGAGGGGAGGGACATGACAAAGAAAACGCGTGCTGGGGAGGCCTGTGGCCAGGGCTGTTGCCTCCAGCGCGTGCCCCTACACTGTCATTCCCCCACCCTGGCATCACAGGGCAACGTCACTGGCCACCTGCCCAGGCCCAACTCCCAGGATGGGACCCCACTGCCACTCCCCAGACCCTGCATCCCCTCCCTGCTGGCACTAGCCGGCCAGGCAAGCCAGCAGCAACTAAGAGCAACACCCGTGGCCACCACCTCCAATCACTCTCCCTGCTCCACGTGGGCAGCAGTGCAGGTGAGGCCAGAGGGGCTCAGCCACATGGGCAGGAGGCACGGGACTGCTCTGGAAGGAGGGGCTCTTGCCAAAGGCCCCACCCTGCAAGCCCTGGTTTCAACAGTGGTGCCAGATGCTTGCTGCATCCCCAAGGAGCACTTTCTTCTTGATGCTTAGAATGGATATAGCAGGAGCTGTACAAGAGACCAGAAAAGAGTCAGGAGGATGCCTGTACATTTCACAGGCAGCATGAAGGAATGAGGTCCTAGTCCTCATGATTCAAAGTAGGAACAGAGGAAGCTGCCTGGTACTAAGGATCCATTCCAGGTTCATAACTCCCATTGGCATCAACAAGCAAGGGGGCTGACATCAACAGAGGATACCAAGTTGCCCTACTGCAGCTTTAAACCAAGGAGGGCAAAAGAGGGTACACACAAACCCTAATGGAGACACTCCCTGCTCTGTGTGGGGCTTGCATGTGTGTATGTGCTTGCAGTTACGCAGAAGATTCCTTGGCAGGCCCAGGGTTATAATTTGCAGTCTCCCGAGTCCCTTGCTCACCCAACCCTGTTTGGACAGGGTCCTACCCAGCTAGAGTGCGAGAGCCTCCTTGAACTGGAAGGCTGAATCCAGTTTCAGAGCAACTCCTGGAAGCAGCTCCCCAGAACATGCAGAATTGCGTGTGTGCTGCGTATGACAGTAAAAGGGATAGGTCCCAAATACCCCTGAAGTGCCAGCATACATTCTGTCACAACTGCATTTACTCTGTGGAATTTACACAGAAGTAGGCCTACCACATTCATCTCTCATGACATCGTTGGGTCTCAACTCCTTCACGCTGTCCCCCAATTTCAGCCTTTTCCTGCTTTCTACACAATTTCTACACACAAATTGTTGTGTTCTGGAACACAACAATTATCACCAAGATCTTTGGATTTTGCCACCGGGATGTCTTCAGAGACATTCTCAGTGGCCACATGCAGTGGTAGGAAAAGCCGAAAGGAAAGAGGTGGGGCAAAATATGCCCACAGATGCCCCATAAGCCATGTAGGTTAAAGCTGTGATTGATGCCATTCAACTAACTAAACCTTAGGATTTTGGTCTCTGAGGATGGAGGAAAGAACCGTAAACCCTGGGAAGCTATGTAGGAGTTGCTGTGGAGAGAAATGGCAGGCAGCCCACCCTGCTACAGAATAACAAACCTGTTCATAAGGAGTGAGGAATTCCAGCAACACAGAGAAAGGACCCCAGCAGCAAATACAGAAACTGGGTTACTAAGGGTGGCACATGAACTGCTGAGAAGGAACTTCAAGGAGAGTGGGGATGGCATTTAGCTCCCAACAAAACCAGAGGGAGTAAAGAGAAGGCAATGCAAAATGCCCCCCCCCCCACCCCCCCCCCCCCACCGTGTCACAACACCCCCAGTCAGCATCACAAAGAGGCTGAAGATGATTTATTAAATGGCAGCCATCCCCAGCCTGGGGTCCTTTAGATATCTTGGACTACAAACTCCCATTATCCCCAGCCCAGGGAGCTTGCAGTCTAAGACATCTAGAAGGTCCCAGGTTGGGGATGGCTCCCCTAAAGTTAAAAAGTCTGACCAAAACTGTTTCTCCTAAGGCACTGGTAGTAACAAGCTGTAATCCACATCAAGAAAGCAGCTTTAAAGTTTTGGCTTCAACCCTTTTAACTCTGGCCCCACCCACCATTGGAACGAACAAGGCCTACGAGAGTGTCACCAAAAGGGAACTTGGCCCCCAGGTTGAAAGAGGGCCCCCGTCCCTGTTTTGTTACCATTTGAGAGATTCTGATCCTGCCTTTCAGGAAATGCCGCTCTCGCCGGCCAGCTTCCGCCACTAACATACAATCACAACAAACACACGCACTTAGGGACTGCTTTCGCCTGATCTCAGTTTAATTGTCTTTCCCTGACTTTTGTCCTATTTTAGTCTTCAGCCATTTTTAGGTCCCCTTTCCGGGAGCTCAGAGGCTTGGCTGTAAGCTCTTAAGGCGTGACTCAAGGCATCAAACAGATCTGTTGTTAATAGAAGTGGCAGGCTTGAGCAAAGATGCTCTTGACCAAGAAGGCCAAGGAAATGCCCACAGGCCAAAGTGGCATCAGACTTGAGAGTGTGACCCATACTCTCTACTGGTGAACAGCTGAAGTTCTCTGAGTGGTCCACAAATGTTAAAACCATCAAGTACAACACCATAATATATAAATGTTTAAAACCACACTATACAGTGGAAAAAAAACCCAAACTTAAACCAAGAAGAAGCTCAATAATATAGGAACAGGTTTAAAACAAAGTAAGCTGAAGACTAAAGTGAAGCTCTTTGGAAAATGTAAGATGGGCCTCTCTGGGGAGCTCATTGTACAATTGAGCTGCCAAAACAGAGGAGAACCTCTTCTTTATCAAGAAATCACACACCTTGCTTTTATTCATGGGGAATCCTGCAGAAGTATCACTTAACTCTGTCTTAAACTTGGTGTGGGCATCTAACATCTAAGACTATAGATCAGTGAAGATCTGTGACTCACAATTGTTTAACAACAGCAGGAATAAAATGATACCCCTCTCACAGTCAATGATACCACTGAAGTCTGAATTCACCAAGAGAGTACAGTGGTACCTCGGCTCACGAATGCCTCAGTTCACAACCACATCAAGTTGTGAACAAAAATTTCATAAAAATTTTGACTCAGGTCACGAACTCCGCATTGGGTGGCGGCTGCGATCATGCTGGGGGCCAGGGAGGAGGGAGATGGCTGAGACTGCATCCATCTTTCCTGCATGAGCGTGCCTGTGATTGTGCCCTCTTTCCTATGGGAGCTCATCCATGATCTTGGCCATCTCCCCCCACCACACACGATCACACCCATCTCCCCCATGCCCAAGCGCACCCACGTTCACACTTGTCTCTTCCCCCGCAGTGTGCCGGGATGATGGGCATGTGCAGGAATGACGGGTGAGATCATGGTCGTGCTGGGGGGACAAGGAGATGGGCCATGATCTTTATTTTTCTTTGTCACTTTGCTTCTTCACTTTTTCTGAATAAAAAAAAAAATAGTTACAGAACGGATTAACCTATTTACATTGAAACTTATGGGGAAATTGGACTTGGTTCACGACCAATTTGGGTCACGACCAGAATCCTGGAATGGATTAAGTCCGTGAGCCAAGGTACCACTGTACTTGTGTATGTGGAAGGACTGCCACCCCTGTTCAGTTCTGGCACTCAAAACAAAATTCCAGGCTCAGGATTATTTGATTGTGAGGTTAGCCCTTCTGCACAGGACAGTGGATCCAGGATTCTTGTAAAACCACAAATTATTGGATTCAGCCCGCACAACATGCAACGCGACTTGCTTGCAAGAGCCATCCAGAATTACCTGTCATGCAACTACTCTATGAGCAGTAGGCCTTTCTGATCTCCTCCTAGAGCTTTAAAGAAACTAGGCCATATTGGTAATGCAGCTGCAGCATTACAGGGTGAAAAGCTTTCTTCTACTTGTCAAGAACTGCATTGCTCCATAAGGTTCAAATGAGCAACACAATGCACCAGCTAAGCACAGATCAACTGGGTTAACTGGAACAGATGGAAAAAACAGCCATACCAGAAGTTTAACATATAATCAACTATGCTCCGTTGACTCTCTGCTGCCTACCTGATCACAACTTTTGCCCCCTGCTAAAATTAGGAATGCTGTGCACTGAGTGAGACTTTGGGTTTCAGTCTTGTCAACACTGACTGGCAGCAATGGCTCACCAGGTTTCAGACAAGAGTTTGCCTGGCCCAAGCTAGCAAAGCCAGCAAACAAGCCTGTAAAAAAGGTACTTCATTATCCTAAAGAGTCTTTCCCCTAAAAGTAAAGAATGGTTACACTCCTCATAATAGGGCCCACAGGACAGACTTAAAGGGGCATCTTCTTCTCATTGGTAGAAACTGTCTCTTAGTCCACCTGCCTTATGGTCAACACTAGATGCAAAGCGGACCAAGAGTGATGCAGTGCTTAGACTGTTAGGGCCGAAGCTCAGGAAATCTGGTTTCTAGTTCCTACTAAGCCATGAAGATCATCAAGTGAGCCTGACCTACCTCACAAGGCTATTGTGAAGATAAATGGAAACACCTCCAACAGGTGACTTTGGGCTGGTCCCCTGACTTAAGAGTCTACCTTAACTCTTAGGACTGTTGTGAGGATAAATTGGGAAAAAGGAGCATGACAACTAGGTAAGGTGTCTTGTGTTCTTTACAAGAGGAAAATAGGCAAAAGATGTAAACGCAATAAGAACAAACGAAATAAGGAAACAGATAAAAAAGAGCGGATCAAAATAAATAACGAGGTCAAGCTATCACAAAGAAATAAATAAAGGCCGAGGATATGTGAACGGCGCGTCGCCCTGCCATACCCCGCAGATGTTTGGGGCTACAACTCGCATCCCTACCACCCTCCGGCCCCTACAAGGTTGTCTGGGGCTGATGGGAGCTGTAGTCCCTCACGACCGCCAGCGGGGTTCTCCCCCACCAGGAGGCCTCCTCAGCCAATACGGCCCTCAGCTGTGGAGAGGGGCGGTTACCTGGGCGACTCCTGGAGCTTCTGGCCCGGCCCGGCCGTCTTGAACTGGAGGTCGGCCTTGAGGTCTTGAAAGAATTTCTTCATGATGGCGGGCGGGGAGGGGGACCCGGGCCGGGGGGGGGGGGTCACAGAGACCAGCGCAGGACAAAAGGAAAACAATCCCCGCGGCCCGCCCCTTCCCTTCCCTTCCGGCGCAGCCGTCGCGAAAACAGGCGGCGGAAATGAGGGACAAAGAGGAAGACGGATTCCGGTATGCGCAAACACCATCTTGGTTGAGGGAAAAGCCAGCGTGCCTTGGCGCAGGCGCAGAGTCTCGCGCCGCGCGAAGGGCCGGTACGCTGCGCTGTACCGCAGCCGCTAGAGCTTCCAGAGCGTCGCACTACAACTCCCAGAATCCTCCAGTGCTCCCCGTTTCTGCAATTTGGGTGACAATGTCGGACTGCCCCTGCTTAGCGTGATGAGAATTGCTACTCTATTTTATTACCTTTATATTCTTCCTGCTTTCTTCCTGGGAAGAGCCCGACTTGGCTTTCATAGCTCCATTTTATCCTCTCAACGACAACCCTGTGAGGTAGGTCGGGCTGAGAATTTGTGGCTGGCTCAGAGTCCCCTACTAAGGGCTAGAATCTGGATCTCTAGACCAACATTCTAAGCACCACACTACACTGTCCCTGTCTGTGTAGTGCCGATAATGTATTTTAAGGTGCTAATAACATAATAGGAAGAATCATGCTGAATCAGACCCGGATTCTATCTAGTTAAACATTCTGTCCATGCAGTGGCTCACTACAGAAAATCCACAAGCAGGACAGTGGTGCAAGAGCACCCTTGTTCCCCACTGACAGGTGTGTGTAGGTCTCTGATATTGAGGGTGGCAAAGGGCCACCAAGACTAGTAACTTTGATAGCTTTTTCCTCCATGAGTTTGTCCCATCTGCTTCTCAGTCAGTCCAATTTGTTTCCCATCTCATGGTGGTTGTTTAAGTATGTGCTGTGGGAAGAAAAAGTGGGCGAAACCAAGAAGTTGCCTTGATGAAGAGATCTGCTCAAAATGCATATGCAGCTAGCAAACATTGGTGCTATCAGGATTCTAGTCCTCATGACACTCAGTTACCTCCAGGATCAGAGACAGTATAGTTGGGAAAGTGACCAAGGAGAGGGCTATTGGGCTCACATCCTGCTTGTCATTGTGGCAGCTGGTTGGCCTCTGTGAAAACAGAATGCTGGCTTTTGGTCTTATCCTGCACAATGCTTCCTTGATCTTTGAGTACTACTCCAAATAGAAGCTCTAGGGGGACATTTTTCTTCCAAGAGCAGTGCAGCAGGAATTAGATTAACTCTGCCAACTCTCATAATGTTGTGGTCCTCATCTATGCCTCCCACCACCCAGAACATATGTATTTATCACCTTTCCAAAATATCTGGAAAGTTCCGGGTTGGCACTTGTATTACTCAGCTGGTCTGCAGGAGGATCATAAAGAAGGCATAAAAGCACAGTCAGGTCAGAGTTAGAAGATGACAGCTGGAAGGCGTTTGTAATGCAAATGCAGTAAGAAGACTCCAGCCAAACTCACAGGTGTGGCTGGGGAGGCCAGCCCAAAAAGCGCTGCCAATTTACTATCCTCTGGCACTGGACTGAAAGAAAATCAGCTGCTCTCACATGCGTAGACTTGATAAAGAATGAGAATCATAAAAACAACTTAGCTTTTAGCAATATATTCTCTGTGCCCATTTTCTGCATGACTTCTTTTCTGTCACACATGCTCCTCACAGTTTCAGTTACCACTTGCAGGTACAGAATCCCAGAACTGAGGACACTTATAATTGGAAGGGGTCCATACAGCCATCCAGTGCAACCCCTGCTCAGTGCAGGACTCCAAGTTCAAGCATCCTTGACAGGAGGCTGTCCAGTTGCATCTTGGAATACCCCAAGTGTGGGAGAGCCCACCACCTTCCTAAGTGATAGGTTCCATTGTCATACTGCTCTAACAGTCAGACCCCCCCCCCCCCGCCCCCCATTTCTAGCTGGAATCTGGATTCCTGTAACTTGACCGTTATTCCATGCCCCGCACTGAGATGGCCAAGATGAAACTTGGACTAAGACCTGGTTCAGAGCTCAGCCATGACATCCCCTGGGTTATTTGCTCAGCTTGCCTGCCTTGTAAAGCAGAGTGTAACATTGGAAAGGGAGAACTGTATACATGGTTTTTGTGCCTTAGAGCATGTGCGGATATGCAGAGCACTCCTCTCCCCTGTATTCTGTGCCACCACACTTGGAATATTGTGCACATTTCTGGACGCGGCATCTGAGAAAGGGCCTCATGGAGCTGGAAAGAGTGCAGAGAAGAGCAACTGAAAATGATTAAATTGCTGGAGCAACCCCCTTATGAGGAACGCTTACAACAGCTGGGATTGTTCTGCTTTGCATAAGGGGAGACATGAGAGGGGAGCTCAAAATTATGGGGTGGAGAAGGTGGAGGAGACATTTTCCTTTCTCTCCCATAATACCAGAACCCCATGAAACCTTTGCGTGGGAGATTCAGGACAGATCAAAGGATTTCTTCAGACAGCGCGTACCTTCCGGCATTCACTGCCATGGGAAGTAATGGTAGTGAAAGCCAGTTTAAAGGCAGATGGGACAAATTCCCGGAGGCCACCTGTGGCCGCCAGCCCTGCTGTGTGCTGTCTCGGTCATCACAGGTGACAAGCGCACATGCACCAGATGCGGAAGAGCCTGGACAGGCGGAATTCTTGCACCCATCCTGCGCAAGGGATCCCACAGGCAAGCTGGCTGCCCACCGCGTGAACGAGCGTTGGCCTGGATGGAAAACTGATCTGATCCAGCAGGGCTCTTCTTGCGTTGGAAGCGAAGAGTCGGACAAAAGAAAGTAAGCGCACGCGCAGAAAGGGAGAAGGGAGAAGCCTAGCAAGCAGCAATGTTAGGAAGCAGCATCCCCTTGTGATGAGAAGGAAGCAGACTTCCCAACACATCGCACGGACAAAGTCCCGGGGCATGTGCAAAGAGCTTCCTCCATTGCAGAATTCCTCCCTCGAGCTCAGACCCTCCCCAGCCATGCCTCCTCCCTCCTTCCCGCTCTCCCACGTGCCCCCAACCCTCTGGCCAATCCTGCTCCGCCCCGCCCCTCGTCCCGCCCCGCCTCCTGGGGAGCTCTGGTTGGGCTGCAGGCGCGGAGCGAGAGTTGCGCCGTCGCCAGCCAATGAGCCATCCAGGGGTGGGATGGAGGTGAGGAGAGCGGCAGGCGGTCTGACCAATGCCCTGCCGCCGAGCGCGCGCGCGCGCGCTCTCCCCCTCCCCTGGCCGGCGACCACGCCCCCTCCCGGTTGCCTGGCGAAGCCTGAGGCCTGGCTGGGGCCTGCTCGCCAGCCGCTACTGCCGCCGCCGCCGCGATGCCGCACGGCTTCAAGGCCGGGGACCTCGTCTTCGCCAAGATGAAGGGATACCCGCACTGGCCGGCCCGGGTGGGTGAGAGGGTGAAGTGCCGAGTACGAGGCCGGGGGGAGGAAAAAAGGAGGGTGGGGAGCCCCGTCGCCTAGCAACCGCACCCCTCCCCTCGCCCAAGTGGGGGCGTCGTCCGCCCCCCGCAGGCCCTCAGCGCCCTCTCAGCGCAGCCTCCACGTGACCGCAGTGCACGCCGCGCGGGCTCCTCCTCGGGTGGGCAGCGCCCCCTGCAAAGCGGGGCGGGGCCGTGCCGGCGCCAAGGTATGTGTTGCAGAAGTGGGGGGGGGGGGAGTCCCTCCTCGGCCGGCCCCCCGTTCCCCCTCCGCAAGCGCAGCTCTGTGTGGCATAGTGCTCTCTGCTTGAGCGGTGTTGTGGGGTTGGCGGGGAGGGGAGTGGAGGGCTTTGGGAGGGTGTCCCCCAGGACCCTTGGAGGAGTTGAGGCCCATCTGCATGCTGTGCATGTGCATACGTGCATGTGCTTGTTGTTCGTTGTATGCGCGCGCGCGATTGAATGCATGTCCAAGGGGCGTAATATAGCGTTACATATGCAGTTTGTGTATACATGTGCAACGTGTGCCTGAGCAGTGCATAAAATTGAATGCTCTGGGTGTGTGCCCGCGTGCCTCTATTTACCAACACTGTATGGGTGGCCTGCGGGGGCTTATATATTTACGCTGCGTATGTTACTCGTGCGATAAGAGAGAGGCCTGTGGTGTAGAGGTGAGATTGCTGAACTGTAACGTGGGAAGTCTGCCTTCAAGCGTGCAATTGGCCATCAAGTTCTGATCCTGGCGTACCTCAAAGGATTGTTGTGAGGGTAAATGAGAGGCGAAGTGTTCTGTCACTCTACTTGGGTTCCTTCAAGGAAGAAAAGGCAGGATACAGGTATAACAAAACGTGTGTGTGCGCGTGGCAGTGCATGCATTTAAATTGTATATATTGCATATTTATGCATAAGTGATGCACTGCTTGTGTGTGTATGCACCACCACTGTCACTGGCAAGACTTGGCCTGGAGGTGTTTAAGCCCATGGATTTGTTGTGTGTGTTTAGCCCCAGTGTGTTGTCCTAATCATGTTGAAGGAGAAAGGAGGAAACTCATTAAGTGCACTACATAAGTTCCATGGAGGCATTTTGGATCCCAACATTTGCGTGTACGTCTGTGTGCGTGCACATGTGGTTTGCAATGCAAACTTTGGGGTGGGGGGGAGCAGGAAGTTCTGTCTGAGTGCCCAGCAGCAAGCACTGGCCGTTGTTAGAGGAAAATATTTGCACTAGAAGAACTCTTCTAGATTAGGCCCAGCATTGCTTTAGTGGTCTGTGCCCATGAAGGGCTAATTTTTAAAATTTATTAGATTTCTATCCTGCTTTTTTACATAACTCAAAGTGGCCTGCATCATTCTCTTCCTCCTCCTCCTCTCAGTCGTCTCACAGCAACAACAACCCTGTGAGGTAGACTGGACTGAGTCTGGGACTTGTCCAGAGTCACCCATTCGCCCCCATGGCTGAGCAGGGTCTCAAACACAGATCACTCGAGTCCCAGCTCCATGCTCTTAAGCACTGCCACTGCACTAGCTCTCATGAAAGCCAAATGGCTGTCAATGGGAGACCCACAAGCTGGATGATAGTGCAGTGGCACCCTTCTGCCCATGTTCCCCAGCAACTGGTGTACACAGGCACAGTAACTCTGATCTTAGAAATAGCATGTGGCTATCAGGACTAGTAACCATGGATAGCTTGCTCTGCCAGGAATTTTTTCCAGTTCCCTTTTAAAGCTGTTGAAATTGGTGGCCATTGCAACATCTTGTGAAACAGAATTCTGTAGGTGAACTTTGCCTTGTGTATAAATGACCTTCCTTTTTGCAGCAGGTTTGTTTGCGGAATGGGTCATTCTCACTGGCGTGTCTTCACTGCCACCCCAAAATTTGTGAGGGGTGGGCAATCTGAACTCTTTGATAACTCACTGTGAAAGCACTTTGTAGGGGCCACACAGGGGCTGCTTTTTTCCCTTCCCCTCCTAGATTTTGCATGGGTTGGCTCTGGATGCAATCACCTGAAAAGCATATGTCCACTGCCTTCCCCTCTTTTATCAACTATTTGCAGTTGAAAACATCTTATTGCACCCCATAAGACTGGCATAGAGAGGAATTTTGGGCCCACAGTTGGTTACACCCAGATTAGGTGCAAGCGTCACCTTAGGTGTCATCTTGTATAAGTAACAACCTGATGGGTGTGTCCTGAAGCACCTGTACACTCCAGAGGTGTCCACTTGCAGCCCCAGTTGTGAAGTAGTCAAGGGCCTGCCATTGTTGCTCCTCTCAATTTATAATGCTGGTCGATGGCTGTGGTGGGAAGGTTGTTCCCCCTCCCTCCCTCCCTCAGTTTAGTTGTCCTGTATTTGTTCCGCCATTTGGAGGAGAGTTCTTTGAGCAAACTGAGCAGAGGGGACACAGCCTCAAGTGCTGGGCATCTGGAGCAGCACTCTTGCAATGGGAGGAGGCGACTTCCTGTGCCTCAGGATTCAGTGTGGTGGGCTGCACATTTGTCCCGGCTGTAGTGCAGTCCTCCTTCCCACCCAGCTCCTCCAAAATGTCATACCCCAGGTCCTTGGTATGTGGTCTTGCCAGCTTTGGGAACTGGAGTGGGAGGGGTGTCCTGTCCAGAATTGTACTGGGAGGGGGGTGATGCAGTGGTGCAGCGGAGAATGGAGTTTGTAAGTGTGGGGAAAGATGGGCTCATAGCTCAGTGGCAGACCCTGTGCTGGGCATGGTGGAGGCCCCCAGTTTTGATCCCAGCACCAAACAGGTTCTGGCAGAGGTGATGAGAGGGTTCCACTGTTGTCCCATGAGAGCTGCTGCCAGGCAGCCTAGCCCAGCCTTCCCCAACCTGGCACCATTTTGGTGGTGTTGCATGGCAGCTCCCATCATCCCCAGCTGGCCTTGTGGGGTACAGGAGGTTTTAGTGCAGCACACCTGGGGTGCACTGGTTTGGGGAAGGCTGGTGCTGGGTGGATGGTTGGGTCATGGCTAAGGGAGCATGTTCCGCTTTGCTTTTAACCGAAGCCTTGCTCCTCAGGAGATCTGGAAGGAAACAAGCGGGGAGGGCCTTTTTGGTGGTGGCCTCTGATTGGGAAATGCTCTCTTCAGCAAAGTCTGCCTGGGGGGCACATTGTCACTCTGTTGGCCTCAGGTTCCTCTGCACCCAGGCATTCGATGTCCTGTGATGGATGCAATGACTGAGGAGCTAAATTTGCAATGTGATGGACAGAATGCGCGAGAACCAGTTGGGATTCTGACATTTTAAATTGCTTCAATTGTTCTTATGCTTTAACCCCTACTCTGAGTTGTCTTGAGTCTTTCCCCCCTTTTTTTGTACATAAAGGCATCTAATAAAGTTAGGCTGCAATTCTGCACAAGCTGAGCTAGGCCAGTACTCACAGGCCTTTTTTTGTTTTAACTTGCAAGTTAACTTGTTTGAACCTCCATGAACCATGATTCTGGTTCAGGGGGAATGTGAGTGTTCTGTTCTCATTCATGGCATCCAAGAATTTGTGCATGGACTGTGGCTCTGATGTTTCAGTTCCCCAATTCATGTGATGGGGAAAGGGTTGGCTATTCTGTGAGTTCCCAGGTAGTGCAGGGACACTGATTTGGTATATGCCCCTTAGGTCTGCTTCTCTAAAACCCTTGCTTTCCCAAGAGGCTGTTCCACAGTGGATGTTTGTAAGCTGGGGAAGGAGGGATTCTAGGTGTTTTGTGTCATGTGATTTTTATCGTTTTATATCCTGCCTTTCTTCTAAGGAGCTGCAGGATGTATACAGAGGTCTCCCCTTTATAATTTTATCCAGCATAAAAGATCAGGAAGAGAATTAGACAAAATTGCTACAAACTGCATTGGCGATTCAGAGTTAAAGATGAATTTCTGTTCATAGTATATTATTTATATTTATGTTGCTTAAATTAATTTGTTGTTTAAACAAAATTTGATAATGTTAACCCATTCATTATGTTGCTTAAATTAATTTGTTGTTTAAACAAAATTTGATAATGTTAAACCATTCATTTGATGTATTTGTCATGGACTTGGGCTATTATAATTAGCTTTTTAAAATGAAAATAAAAAGGAAGTATGGCAAGTATAGTATTACCATCTTGAGAGCCTTGTAGTTAGAGTGGAAGTGGCTGGCCCCAGCTTACCCAGTGAGCTTCATGCCTGAGCATCTGTTTAAACTCAGGTCTTCTCTGGTCCACACTTACACACTCTCTGATTCTGTTTTGCATGAGGTTGGCCACCGTATTTGCCAGCTGCAGGAGGTCCTCTTCTGTCCCACCTGTTGCTGCTAGTCACAGAGTCGTGTCCGACCCACAGTGACCCCATGGGCAACACTCCTTCAGGCCCTCCTGTCCTCCACCATCCCCCGGAGTCCACCCAAGCTCATGCGAACTGCTTCCGTGACTCCATCCAGCCACCTCATCCTCTGCCATCCCCTTCTCCCGTCAATTGTTCCCAGCATCAGGGTCTTCTCCAGGGAGTCCTTCCTTCTCATGAGGTGGTCAAAGCATTTGAGCTTCAGCTTCAGGATCTGGCCTTCTGAAGAGCAGTCAGGGTTGATCTCCTCTAGGACTGACTGGTTTGATCTTGCAGTCCAAGTGACTCGCAGGAGTATCCTCCAGCACCACAATTCAAAGGTCTCCATTCTCCAGCGCTCAGCCTTCCTTATGGTCCAGCTTTCACAGCCATACATTGCAACTGGGAAAACCATTGCCTTGACTATACACACTTTTGTCGGCAGGGTGATGTCTGCTTTTTAGTATGCTATCTAGAGTTTCCATAGCTCTCCTCCCAAGGAGCAAGCGTCTTTTAATTTCTTGGCTGCAGTCCCCATCTGTGGTGATCTTGGAGCCCAGGAAAATAACATCTCTCACTACCTCCATTTATTCCCCATCTATTTGCCTGGAAGTGAGAGGACCAAATGCCATGATCTTAGTTTTCTTAATGTTGAGTTTCAAGCCAACTTTTGT